CCACCCCTTGTCTCCCGAGGGGACAAATGGGTCATTCGCTGCTTCCTTGTACTCTGACATATTGGGATTGGGGTCCATGGGGTATGGTTGTGACAAGCATTCACTAGTTCACTCAGGTTATGAATGTGTTACATAATTCTAACCAGTTTTTCACACTAGTTCACTTGGGTTATGAACATGTTAGGTAATTCTAACCAGTTTTTCACACTAGTTCACTTCGGTTATGAATGTCCTATGTAATTCTAACCAGTTTTTCCTTGAATGAGACTTATAAGGTGGGCATTTTGTCATTTCTTTTTTTTTTTTTTGTCTGTCGTGGGGCCTGAACTCTGGGCCTGGGCGCTGTCCTTCAGCTCTTCATCTCAAGGCCAGCATTCTACCACCTGATCCACAGTGCCACTTCTGGTTTTCTGAGTGGTTTATTGGAGATAAGAGTCTCATGGACTTTCCTGTCCAGGCTGGCTTTGAACCATGATCCTTAGATCTCAGCCTCCTGAGTAGCTAGCTAGGATTGCAGGTGTGAGCCACCAGTGCCCGGCGCATTTTGTCAGTTCTAATCCGTTTGAGGACAATTAAGTTTAAAATATCATGTGTTCTCCATTGCTGCCCTGTCCCTTTGCACATGACTAACGGGACCATCAGCCTGCAGACCAACCCTTCCCTCAAGCTCTCACTCGACTCCCTTCTGTTGTTGGGCCCTTCCATCCCAGCTCCTCATTGCAGTCATGTACTCCTCACGAGGCCACACAGCTTATTTAAGTGCTCACCAAGGGCCTGTCACATGTTCATTTTTACTGGGGAAGAAAAGCCACAGAAATTGAAAATAGCAAGAAAAATGGAAAACTACTGGGGACAGTGCCCTTGTCATTAAAAATCCTTTCATGAGAGGGAAAGACAATTCTTCAGCACCCTTCTAGTAATCCCTGTTGGTGTGGGGTTGTTCTTAGGTAAAACTGTTTCCTCCCATGCTGCAGGGGTTGGGTCTGGGGAAGTCCAGAGCACAGGATGCACCTGGTGCTGGTGAGACAGTCGCCTCACTGCAACTCACTGCAACTCACAGTCCTTCGCTGACTCCACTGGGCTTGTCCATGCCCTGCAATTTGTTTTATTTTTAATATTCTTACTACTTCAGCAAACCAACTCATTTTTTGCTGGGTCTTCGTCCGTCCCACGAAAGAAGGACGGGGTCTGAGGAAAGGTGTCTCAGAGATGTGAAGCTGGGGTCCCCCAGGCACCTGATCCTGTGTATATACCTTTCTGTATGACAGCCAGAACTGGAGTGCCCTCACTCAGTGGTTCCTTCATCCAGAACCAGGGAGCCTCTGAGGAGAACAGGCTGCGTGGTCTGCTGCTGTGCCAGCCTGGGTTAGGACACCATTAAAGGAAGGGGTACAGAAGACCAAAAAAATCCATAGCTTTCCACCAAAGCCGATGCTCTCATTCCCAAATGTGTTAAAAGCACAGTAGATGATTTACAGATTTCTTTGGGAAAGCATTTCATGCAGATTTGCTATAGTTGCTAGCAAACCTAATTAAAATTCAGCACAAATTTACCTATTTTAATCTATTTTTAAGTTTTATGTTTTAAAATAATCCTTGATTTTGTCTGCATATTGGTGTGCTTTCCTTTTTTAAAGAGAGATATGGAATCAATATGTGGAATATTGTACTTTTAATATTAACTGGTAAGTAGTAGCAAAGCTATAAAGCACAGAGACATGAAAATTTAGAAGGTTAATTTCCAAGTAAAATCTGAAACCCCTAAGAAATTTATCTTCTTTGTGAGGGGCAGGTCTGTGAGTATGTGGTGTGGATTCAAAGCTTCCCCTGGAATATAGCGAGGCTTACGTGCTCAGCTTTGAAGGGGAGTGGAGGAAAGGAACCGGAGGCGGGAATGTGGGAGGGTGGGGGGACAGGGACAGTCTCCTCACTGTGCTTCTGTCCTCATCCTCCCCTGCTTTGCCTCCATGTGGAAAAGACAGGCAGGCAGGGCCTGCCCTAAGGTTTTTAGATAGCATTTATTTCATGAATGGGAGAGTAAGGAGTTTCAGAGCACCATTAAGGTGGCTCTTGACATTTCTTGTATGTTATATCGTTCGTCATTAGAAATTGGTTGTATTTGTTTACTTCATTGGTAATGAAGCTATTCAAATTTTTCATTCTCTGGGTCAGTTTGGGGAATGTCTTTTTCATATATGTTCATATCGTCTATCCCATTTTTAAACCTGTATATTATTAGTTCTAACTAGTTCACTTGTTGTGGGTTTGAGAAAGGCATATCTCCGTGTGTGTGTCTGTGTGTCTGTGTCTGCTGTGTCTGTCTGTTTCTGTGTGTCTGTGTTGGTGTCGGTGTGAGTGTCAGTGTGTCTGTCCTGAGGCTTAAACTCAGGGCCTGGGTAATTGCTTGTGTGCTCATGGCTAATACTCTACCCCTTGAGCCACAGCTCTACTTCTGGCCTTTTGGGGTTAATCATAGAATCAGAGATAAGAGACTCACAGATTTTCTTGCCCAGGCTGGCATTTGAACTGCGATTCTCAGATCTCAGCTTCCAGAGTAGCTAAAATTACAGGCACAATTTTTTTTAAAGTAGATTATCGATTTATTTATCCATTATACTTTTTAAACCACTAATTTCTGATTTTCTTTGGTACATTTAGTTATTGTCTTTATAATTTCTTAGTAGTGAGCACTGAATTCCTGCTTATATTTCCATCAAATACACAGTTCTGAAGGTTGAACTAGGTGCTAGTTAGGACCAGATTATGTACATAGAATATCTACAAATTAGGGCTGGGAAGATGGCTTAGTGGTAGAATTCTTGCCTCGCATGCATGAGGCCCTGGGTTTGATTCCTCAGCACCACATAAGCAGAAAAAGTTGGAAGTGGAGCTGTGGCTCAAGTGGTAGAAGGCTAGCCTTGAGCTGAAGAGTGTAGGGACAGCGCCCAGGCCCAAAGTTCAGGCCCCATGACTGACCGAAACAAACAAAAAGAATATCTACAAATTAGTGCTGTGTAACTAAAATTGAGGTTTATGTTGATGCCTTTTGAGAATTTCTGTAGCTCTGTTCTGACTGTTGGAGGTAATTTTAAGTTTAAACTTTTGTTGTTGTTCCATAAGTGGCAATTATCTCTAGAACCAATAAATTCAGACGAGATCGGACGTGTTCAGGGTGGTATGGCCATAGACAAGAACCAATAAATTCAATAGAAGCCACTCCCTCCCACCCAACCCCACAGTGAATCAACTACATTTTAGTAGATGAGGGAAGAGCCTCTGTTACTTTCTCAGTATCCTGGGACAGATTTGAGAATAGAATAATTTGTATAGGAAATAACTATAATTCATAGGTCCTTTGAAACATAATAACCCTAAGCAGAATGGTTAAGTGCCATCACTCACCTGCAGTCTGAGTGAGCAAGGGTTTCTGGTCCATCCCTGCATCTGATTATCTTACCCTCCTGTGTGTGCCTCATCATGACGACCGTGTTTCCTCAGTTGTGAGACAACCCTCAGTCAGCAGCGTACTCTGTCTACAAGGATAGGTAGTAATAGGGAGGGGAGTGATTGACGTTGTAGGGAATCTCTGCTCTTCCAAGAGATGTCCAGTTGTAGCCTCTTACCTCTGGAGTAGGAAAGTGTCCTGTGAACTGGTTGGATTTTAGCATTTTTCATTGTGTTTGTATCCTGTATGGTTGAAGAGTATAGAAAATGGGCCTTATTATCCTTTTTCACCATCCTACTTGGCAGAAGTTGGACAGGGAACCATTGACTCATGCCTATATGCCTAGCTCTTTAAGAGGCTGCAATCTATAGGACCATGGTTCAAAACCAGGCAAGGCAAAAAGAAAAAAAGAAAATGGAAAAAAGTCCATGGGACTGCAACTCCAGTTAACCAGTAAAAAGCTGGACTGGAGATGTGACTTAATTGGTAAAGCACTAGCCATGAGCAAGAAGGCAAGTACAAGGCACTGAGTTCAAGCCTTAGTACAGGGTTGGGAAGGTGAAGGGCAATGGGTTATTCATAGGTCAGTGAATAAGATATTCAGCCTGTCATGAGCTGGGGAAATATGTTTTTAATCTAAGACTACTGAGATGAAAGAAACATTCGCAGCTGAGGAGTTGAGATCAGTCAGGACATGTTTCTCATCAGCTACCTGTTTTTTTGTCTCTGGTGCCTTTAGTTAATAATAATACATATCATTGATGAGTAACTTGTGGCATAGTCAGATAGAAAGCTGCTCTTCCAGCCACCAAGTCCTTGAGAGCCTTACCTCCCTCAGAGTCTGTGAGGTCCAGCATGGTTGTGAACATTGCTAATGCTTGGTGTTGTTCCTCTGCTGTGGGACACTTGCACTACTTTAGAAGTGTAACTGTAGCACACTGCTCACTGTACTCATGTCACCCTTGTAGCATGGCTATGTAAGGTTACTATTGGCACACAGCTGAAGATCAAGGTTCATGGCAACTGGGAACTTTTGTGGGACAATGATCAGTGTTCAGCTGTGGTAAGACGCCAGTGCTCCATGGCTATGGAGGAAGTCTGCTGGGCTCAGAGGGGATGGGGTCAAGAGTGCCAGGCTCAGATGTAGATGGAGTTGGAGACAGTCTTGCAATGTTGCTTGGTTCCACATGTGAGCTGTAGCCAGCCCTGCACAGAGGAAGACCCGAGCTCCAGTGTGGTGACTGGTACGGCAGAGACAGGAAGCTTCCTGCTAGCTTGGGGAAGCCGAGAACACAACACAGACTGTAAAACATCCACCTTGAACTGTAGCATTGTTAATGGTTTTATTAACTGTTTCATGTCTTTTCACTCAGGTGAGGAAGTATTCCTAACCAGATGTCTCAAGGAAAAGAACAGAGGATGAGTTGTGGGGATGAGTGAGCAGTGCCGTGACTTTGGAGAGGTTGCATCTGTGGTTGCCGCGTCTGCGGTTGGCTCTGCACTGTAGACCACAGCACTCTGTGTGCTTATTCTATGCTGTGAGTGACACTGGAACTAGTTTTGTACCAGTCTTTCTGGTGAAATGACTTTTTGCCTTTGTGGACATGAGTGACTCAAGACAGTTGCAAACAGAGAAGCACAAACGTGGCAGAACTTCCACCAAGCTCAAGGACACTCCTGGAATCATGCAGTCAGATGATTATTTTGCTCGAAAATTTAAAGCCATTAATGGCAACATCGGACCTGCTACATCCTTAAATATTTCCAGTCCCAGTGAGGGGGGTAGTCCGGCCAATGGTACTCCAGCTGTGCCCAAGATGGGCGTGAGGGCCAGAGTGTCCGAATGGCCCCCCAAAAAGGACTGCTCCAAGGATCTGTCCTGCAAGACACTGTGGGAAAACCGGTCCCAGTCCAGCTATGAGAGCGTCACCTCCATGCTGCAGAACGGGCAGAATGACCAGGGCGATGCCCAGCATGAGGAGCAGCTAGATCTGGACTTGGTGGAGGCCAAGTACACCATTGGAGACCTCTTTGTCCATTCTTCCCAGAGAGGACTCCACCCCATCCGGCAGAGAAGCAACAGTGATGTCACCATTAGTGACATTGATGCTGAGGATGTGCTGGACCAGCGTGCAGTGAACCCCAACACAGGGGCCGCCCTGCACAGGGAATATGGGAGCACATCATCCATCGACAGGCAGGGCCTGTCAGGAGAGAACTTTTTTGCGATGCTCCGAGGGTATCGGGTGGAGAATTACGACCCCAAAACAGTGAGCCCCTTCGGATTCCCTGAGTTCTTCCCCTGCAACCCTGCCATCTCCCCCAGCCTCCATGCCGCAGCGCAGATTGCTAGGGGAGAGTTGGTCCGCATCTCAGGACTGGACTACATGGATAGTGCCCTCCTGATGGGGAGGGATAGGGACAAACCTTTCAAACGCAGATTAAAATCAGAGTCAGTGGAGACATCGCTCTTCCGAAAGCTGCGGACAGTTAAAAGTGAGCACGAGACCTTCAGGTTCACATCTGACCTGGAGGAGGGCCGTCTGGAGCGGGGGGTTCGCCCTTGGAGTTGTCAGCGCTGCTTTGCGCACTATGATGTCCAAAGCATCCTGTTCAACATCAATGAAGCCATGGCCACCAGGGCCAGCATGGGGAAGAGGAAGAACATCACCACAGGGGCTTCTGCTGCATCGCAGACCCCAGTGGCTGCCGGCCCAGCGGGTGGCTGCGAGTCCCCTCTGGGCAGCAAGGAAGACCTCAACTCAAAGGAGAACCTGGACGCCGATGAGGGTGATGGCAAGAGCAACGAGCTGGTCCTCAGCTGCCCTTACTTCCGCAATGAGACTGGTGGGGAGGGTGACCGGCGCATCGCGCTCTCCCGGGCCAACTCTGCCTCCTTCAGCGCTGGCGAGAGCTGCTCCTTCGAGTCCTCCCTCAGTTCCCACTGCACCAATGCAGGCGTCTCAGTGCTGGAGGTGCCCAGAGAAAGCCAGCCGGTTCACAGGGAGAAGGTCAAGCGCTACATAATAGAGCACATCGACCTGGGGGCTTACTACTACCGCAAATTCTTCTATGGGAAAGGTGAGCCTGGCCACCGCGGCCTCCTCAGGCCCTTGTACCTTCACGGTGTTGGAGCAAGTTCTCAGGCCTGGCTGGTCACATTACTTACCCTTACTGCTGTTTGTTACAAACCTGTACCTTGTCTTGTTTGTGGAAATGTGTCTCTCGTCTCTTTCTGCCTATCTCTTGTCTGTATATGTCTGCTAATTTGTGGGCATCACAAATTTAGACTTCTGCCCCTTCTGCTAAGCCTCCCTGATTGGCTCTGTCCCTGCTTTGCTGGTTGTTCCTCTCAGTAATCTCTGAGTTGATCTTAGCCTCACCACTTCACAAGCTAAATATGTCAAATCCTGGCTGAAAGAATATATGAATTGCTATAATAGGCAAACACCATTTCTTTGTGGTTTGTAAATTGGATTACATGTGAAGGTACACCTAATTGTTTAGTGTTATTTCATAGTTCTTCAGTCCTACATAAAATAATTTACTGTAGTTTCTTTCCTCAGGCTCTGAAGGGTACAGTCTTCAAGTCAGCCTTTAGATCTATGTAGTTGTTTATTCTGCAAAAGTCATTCTGTATCTGAGACCTGCAGAAAAATGGATTCCACATTGGTCAGGAACATATACTAATCATATGTAGTGTTTCACTGTTGTCTTGGTGCCTTGGTCCCTTCCTTTAGGTGCAGCTTACTTTCCAAGTTTTCCTCTGGGTTTAATTCTATTCTCCACCCTATTTCCCACCCCTAGAGACAACTTGACAGCACCACATGTCGGGGTAGCCTGACCAGGCCCCTCCTCCTGCCCCTTAGTGGTGAACTGCCCTGCCCTCCTATCTCTGAGTGCTTGCCTGCAGTTCTGGTCTGGTGTGGAGTGGCCAGGACTTCAGGAGGTCACTGTGTCCACTTAGGTTGTCCATAGACTTAATGCCACCACGAAGCCGCCTCATTACCTTTGCCTATGGACTGCACACATGAAGAAAGTCATTGGCCAGACCAATGTCAATTATTAAATTAATTCCCTTTTCTCTGTTTTGGCATGAATCCAGGTTCTACCCACCACTCATATGACACCAGGGAGTCATGTAAGTCAGGGTATTATGATACTGGACAGCAGTAAAGCCCAGTAAGCGCCTGCCCCCACCAGGACTGTACTCACTGTTCTTGTTTCCTGGCTCTCCAGTCTCATGGCAGGGTTTTCCATTTCCTGGCTCTCCTGTCTCCTGCCACGTTTTCTGTTCCCTGGCTCTCCAGTCCTGTGGCAGGGTTTCCGTTTCCTGGCTCTCCAGTCCCGTGGCATGGTGGCTGAACCAACTTTGTCAGCAGGTCTTAGTTCCCAGTGGTGCCCTCTTCCCTCCCCCCAATCCCCACTACTCTCTGCCCCCAGCCACCGCCCTGGCTTGGGGTGTGCATCCCTGTCCCTCTAGGAGTTGGGTCTTTCAGTACTGCCATCCAGGAAGTTTGGCTTGTGTTTCAGTCCGTACTGTGAGCTGACTGGGACCCTCTCAAGGGCTGCAGCCATCCAGGGCAGCCTTATCAGACATGCTCTGGGCTGCTCACAGTAGAGGAATAGGCTTCTTCATTAAGATTGCTTATGTGGATGGACTTGGCTTCCACCGCTAGCCATGAAACAAAGTCTCTTAGATTTATTACACACTAAAATCCTCTAGTGAGTATTCTGGCTGGCTGAGTTTTATATAGTTTTTGGTTCATCCTTTAAAGTATCAGAATATAAAGGTTACTTATGTTCCTTTGTTTCGCACATGCTTAGTGTTAGTGTCCCACCCAGACTGCATGCATCAGAGGTGTCTTTGATGGAGGGGATGATGCCACCTGCCCCAAGTTACCACCAGTGGAGTTGTCAGGGCCTGAGGTCTTCTCTAGGAGGTGGTTTCTGGTACATTCTGGAATTCTCATCTGTCACTTCCCTATAGTTTTGAAAACTTCTCTGCAGGTGACTTACTTCCCCTGGCTTTTCTGATTTGCCACTTAGGATTTTGAGGGCATTGGAAATGAAATCATTGGACTGGTCAGATTGAGTATACAAAATCAGTAAGCACCATGGAAGAATCTGTATGGATGCCCACCAGGACGCATGGTGAATGTAGACATGGGGAGGTGGGGGGCAGGCATCAGTTCCAGCTCTGGTGTAGGGCTTGGCAGAGGCAGGGCTGAGTACAGAGCCTCCAGCACCAGGGTACGGCATTCCCCCAAGCTCACCTAATCTTCACCATTCTGGGTTGAGTGTTGGAGAAGGACTCAGAGTTCCGGGGTAGCAGGAGAGGACCAGGCCAGCCCTGCCTTTCATGCCACTGCAGCTCTGGACATACCCTGCCTCTCCTTTGCCTGAGGCCCTTTATGACTTGAAGGTGCATTTATTGCCACTGACGGTCATTCTGTAGAGCTTTAGGGACCAGGGCAGTGGCCTGGGGCACTGAGTTTCTGGATGCTGGCTCAGCCCCAGCCCAGTGACTGGACTTGCCATGGTGTACAAGTGCCTTACCAGCCATGGGAACATTGTTTGAAAAAAGGCAGGCACTGAATGGCCCAGATGACACTCTGCAAATAGTGTCTTTGCACCCGTTTCTCTTCTCCCTTCCAAGTCCTTCTCTGTGGAAGCTTTTGAGGATCTCGGGACACCTGCTGGATCAGTCTCTTTATGTTCTGTGTTCTGTGTGAAACTTGGCTCCCAGTCATTGGGAAAACTTTAAAGTACAAGCTTTATAAAGCAGCTCTTTACTAGTCAGTTATATAAAAAGGTGTGTTTGTAAAACAGTCCCTGAAAGGCCTTTTAATGGCCCTGTAAATGGATCATCAAGGAGTGGCTGCCACCATAGACTAGCAGTGACGCTCATCCAGCCTCCAGTGATACAACTTGTTTGGGGGTGTTAACAGAGGCAGGCGCAACTGGTGCACAGTAGCCTCCCTCTGCTGGCTGGCACTAACTGGGGAGTCTGTCGTTTCTCCTTGGCTCTCCTCTCCTGAACAGACCAGGCACTTCGAAGCGCCGTGGATAGGAGGTGCCCTGTGCTGGGCCCCACACCAGTCCAGCAGGTACCTGCTGCTCAGTTATCCTCACTTTGTTCAAATCCCGCTGGGCCAGAAGCCCCAGGGTTCCCTCCGAGTCTCATTCTTAGCCTTGATTGAGGATGTGGATAGTGAGGTTTAGAACTTACTTACTCTAAAGATGTTCCCCCTTGCCCTTCCCTAAGACCTGATGAGGGGCTGTGAGATGTAAGGCAGTGTTGCCCAACCCTGAATTCAGCCTTCCTGCTAACCTTGCCTGAGGGTTTTCTGACAGATGCAAGGAAAGAATCACGAATAGTTGAGGAGGTGAGGAGGGAGCTTGAGATGTGGGTGGAAATTTAGTTTGACCCTGATGTTTTCTGTCCCTGCTGCCTAGTGCCCTAGGATCCTGGTATGTGTGACTCCGCCCTTCCTCTGGGAGTTTTTTTCTTACACACCCATGTGCCATTGGGGACGCTGATCTTTCCTTGCTGTTTAGTGTCATAAATCCTTTGGAGTAGGAGCACCTTGGGATTTTTTTTTTTTGCGGGAATTTTTCAGAAAGAAGAATGTCTAGCTACTTCTAAGTAAAATGGGGTTCCTACGAGAGCCATGCCAGGTCATAGTGTAGCATATGAGACTGGTCACCCCAGCAGCCTTTCTGCCCAAATGCCAGCCTTGGGATTTGCAGACCTATCCACCATGTCATTGGTACTAGAGTGTGTCTGTCATGGTATCTTTGTTGGCCAGGGGCTCTTTCTACAGCCTCCTGTCTGAATTTTGCATCTGGTTTTTTTTTTTTTTTATTTCTAGCAACTGCTCTTACCCAGCTCTTTGCATACCCCTTACTCCAGTGTTAGACTTTTCATTAGATATGAACTGGAGCACAATAGACATGGCTGCTAGATAATCCAGTAAAGTGAAAAGAGTTCCATAAAATGTGTGTAACAGTCCCATCGCCACCTTAAATGTTGTGGCCAGGAAGTCCTTTTGCCATTCAGTGGAAATATCCACTGCAGCAACCTTGGAAGCTCACTCTTGTCATCAGAGGCCTCTGGTTGGGGACAAGGTAGGGCATACCTGGATTCACATTCCACTCACGTTTAGGACAAATCCTTGAACTTCCTGGTGCCCCAGAATGCCCCAGAAAACCCCCAAAAATGGGTTTAAAACATCATTTAAGGATTTCTTACAAAAGAACATAGGACATTTCTTTCTAGAAAAACAGCCTGGTCTACGCTGAGGTGCAGCATCCAAAGGGCAGCATTGGGCTTCAGTGGCTAAGAGGTTAGGAGCGAGGCAGAGAGGCCATGTATCTGAGGCCAAGGAAGGCATCTGGTGAAGCCCTGCACTGCACTGCATTCTGCTCATATTCACCACTAACACAGAGGTGCAGGCAGAGTCTGCCTCTGCATGACAGATGAGCCCACTGCTAGTGTCCCATGGCTGCCTTTGCTTTGAATTTCATGCCTGGTGCTTTTTCTTCTTGTTTTATACAGTCATTGGCAAAAATTAATAGGGAATTGGACACTATTAAGTTAATACAGATGAGAAGAGCACTATCTAACAATGGCGCTATTCTAAGGAAAAAATCTCCCCCCCCTCCCCCGTCCCTCCTCCCCCAAGGACATAGTGAACTCTGTGCTCAGCCTTTCTCCCTGGCCTGAATGGCTGCCACAAACAGAGGTCTCATTGAGTCCTTGGAGCTCCTCAGGGATGGCCTTCCCAGCTGCGCCCAGAACCCACCACCAGGGGACATTGCCGCCTCTATTCTGGGGGGCGGGGGTGGCCTGTAAGGTGTAATGAGCAGGGGGACACTAGGCACCTCCTGTAGCATGTGGGACCCACCCCCCAAGGGCAGCTGCCATGCCATCATACTGACCCTTTACCCCAGCAGGCCGTGGCTCTGTTGTGGCGGAAGAGGAGCCAGTGTCCTGTTGTGCTCCAAGAAGAGGAATGGAGCCTGTTTTCTGTGTAGGTCAACTCACGGGCTGACGAACGAGGGGCTGTAGCTTGTCCTGCTCCAGCACAGGAAGTTGGAAATGAGGGTCTTGGAAATGGAAGTCTCAGGACAGGGAGCTTAGCTAACTCTGCCTTGTGTTAACTCACTTGCACCTGAAAAGTGACTGAAAAGCTGACCAGCTGCCCCTCACCCAAGTCCTCACCTCCCACATCCTTTCACACTCCAAGTTCCCTTCCACCTTCGAGCACATGCTGCCTGACATTACAGATTAGTAAAGGAGGCCTTGTGGTGTCATCTTGTTTTCCTTCATGTCATACCTTTGAAAATACCATCCTCAGGTTCAGGGTAGGTTGGTCCCTCTCTGCCAGCTGTATTTTCTTCCCTGCATTGCTTGCTTTAGAAAAAACTGTGGCCCCCTAAGTTGTCAGCTTGGTAATGTCTGACCCACTGCAAGAAAACACCCATAAGTTACCTCTGCTCTTTATGAAGCAGAGGCTAGAGGATGATTCTGAGCAGGCAGCTTTGCTGCCCTTGCAGATGTGCTGTAGCACTGTTGCTAATGACATGGTAGAGCTGCCTGACCTTTCACCCCTCATCCTGGGGTGCAGAGTGCTGTCCGTGCCAAATACATCTCCTTTGTACACTTCAGAGACTAGAGCCAGCCTTGGGCTAGTGTCCCCAGGTACCTGCCACCTGCTTTCCCTCTTTGTACTTCAGATTGTTTCTTTGTTTTGTTTCTTCTTCAGTGAGCAGCCAGAATGTACCACAGAGAGGCATTGAATCTCATTTCCCACACTGCAGTCTTGTTAAGCATTTTTTTTTAATCTTGTCCTGTGGTATTCACACGATATGTGGAATTTCATTCAGCTTCTCAACAGTCTCTTCACAGCTTCTGTTCTGCCAGAGAACAATTTCATTTGCTTCACCCTCAAAGCAATTTTATGGAAATCATCAGCTCAGAAATAAGACCAGGCTATTGGATGGTAGGGGGAGATCAGGATGTACTTGGCTCCCAAGATCTGCTCTGTCTTCTATTTAGGGTAGTGGGACCTTCCTGGGTCAGATTAAAACATAAGATCTTTTGTAAAAGGAATGTATGTATCCTTTGAAAGAGTTTGTCCTCTCTGCAGACTTGGAAAGGGGCATGGTTTCTGTGTCTTCGTGGGCTCCTATATAGGAGCTAGACAGCATTGTTCCTTATTGAGAAGATTTTAATCTCTTTCGAAACATACACAGGCTTTCTCATGCATTCCTGGTTGGAACTAAAAGGCATGGCAAGTTCCACTGGCCAAGAATAAGAAGGCATAAAAGCTGAGCGTCCTGCACAGCAGTGTCTCCTGCATAACGCCTGGGCAGCAGGAACCTCCCCTCTCGCTTGCATTCGAAAGCCACAGCTAGACATGATCAGAGAGGAAGACTTTGAAGGGCAAACCTAACTTTCACCAGTTGCTTATTATTTTTGGTAATGGGTAATACACAAATTAGGGCTCTCTGCTTTTTAAGTATAATGACTGATGACAGTTATTTAGTGAAATATTGTAGATACCCATGAAAACTGGCCTTGAACCTCTCTCAAAGCCATTAAAAGTAAAAAATGCACCACTAATGTTACTGAAACTAGTTTCTACTTCATACATATTTTTTTGCAATTTTTCTTCCACAGTTAGATCCTCATTAAAATAAATAAATAAATAAAGTGAAAGTCATCTTTGGACTAACTTGGAACCACATTGGACTTTTGAGCTCAGAAGCAAAATGCTCACAGTATCTTTCTCATGCACTCTCTATTTTTGTTTTGATTTAGCTTTTCTGGCAGGAACCTGCTTGCTTTTCCAGGCCAATGGTGACAGTGCTGGTGTGAATGTATTTTAGTTTAGGCTCAATACTGAGATTAAGGAAACTAAACCACAGTTAATGGATGTTGGAGCCAAGCCCACATCCAAAGCCAAAAGCAGGCATCTTAGAATTGTAGGTATTTACTGTGACGTCAGTGGGGTTGGCCTGCTAGTTCACTGTGTGAATCAAAAGCATGTGTTCTTTCCTCCTCCTGCTAAGTGCCACTAACATGACTAGCAAAGGAGATTTCCCAAGATGGAAGAGGTCAGGGTCAGCAAGGAGGAGCAGCCCTCAGTGTCAGGATCCAGGAGGATGGAGGAGGAAGTCAAGGCCAGCAAGGCGGAGCATCCTCAGTGTCAGGATCCAGGAGGATGATGGAGGTTCAGGGCCAGCAAGGAGGAGCAGTCCACAGTCTGGCTCCAGCATGGGACAGCAGGGTCCAGACTGGAAGGTAGAAGTTGACTTATGAGCACAGAGTTCTACTGGCCTTGACCAGAGCACTGCTATGAAGAAAATTTGTGGAATGAGATTAAGTGATGATTTTTGGAAGTGGAGTGTGAGAAACAGTGATGACCTGGGCAGCAGGTGAGGTCCTCCCAGAATGGAGTCATCCTTAGTGATGGTCTCTGTGGCCAGAAAGGTCACGATTTAGTTTTGGAAGACCCCTTCCAACCTCAGGGCCCACCTGCTCTTTCTGTGCTCTCTCCTCCCTGCTTGTCAGAATGAAAGTGCACTTCACGTACAGCAGAGCTTGCCCTTCTCAGTGTGTGGCTCTGAGAATCCAGCCTGGCACTACCCCTCAGTAATGATGTTGCCCAGCCCTCGCACCCTCCAGAGTCCCTCCCATTCCGCTGTCCCCGCCCTCCCCTCCACCAGCCTGGGTGATGACAGACCTGTTTTCTCTCCCTGCGTCACACCGACAGTGGCATAGTTTGCGTGGAGGGGTGCACTAAGATGGGAGGGGTCAGGTGTATGGGGAGGGGGAGTCAGTTAGGTAAATTGTGCAGAGCCCATCAAGTCACGTAATGTGGAGCTGCTATGGCTGGAGGTGTGTTCTAAGGAGGAAGTGCACGCCTGGCCCCTGGCTGTGTGTCCAGGTACCTCAGGAGCCATTTCCTCAGGGGATTGGGCAGTGATAGAAAAGGCAGAAGCTCTTGTCTGGAGAGTGAACTGAGACTAGGAAAGTTCTAAACTGTCTTGGCATTGAGTTAAAGATGTGTTCTATAGGGTCCCGTGAAATGCCATCATTGATGCCAGCTTCAGGAAATGATAAAATGATGCTGTTAGAAGCTGCTGTTTTCTGAGTATTTTGTAGCTGTTGACTAAGCTCACAAATGCCTATTTCTGGCTCAGCTCTTAGACCTGTATTGGGTGTTTAGTTTCACAAGAGTTAGGTCTGTTAACACTTATCTTGCCTGCCATCAACACATACCATACCTGAGGGAGGTATTTATCACTTAAGGACCATTAACGCTGGGAAGGTGGCTCAGTGGTAGAGTGCTTGCTTTGCGTGCATAAGGTCCTGGGTTTGATTCCTCAGCACCACGTAAGCAGAAAAAAAGAACCATTAACTCAGTCAGTAATTCACCTTTCAGCCCATCACAGCCTCCCTGCTGCTGCAGCCCTGGCCGGCTGAGAGGAAGAATAAGGTATCGATCTCACCTGGTATCCAGGCAGTAAGGCAGTGTTTGCCTTTCAGCACCTGAGGAATGCATGTGCATGGGCTTGCGTTGTTTTCTCTGAGTGGAACAGGACCACTGTCCTGACACTCCCCCACCTTACTATCTCAGAGACTCTTCTGCCCCTGTAAAAAAGTGTCAAGAAAGAAATGTGAGCATAGCTAAAAGCCCTCAGAGAGCAAATGGGTTTTCTTCAAGCTCAGAATGTGCCCTACATCATGTTTCCTTGTAGCTAAGAGCCAAGAGTGAGGCAAGTCACCCCACCTATACTCTGACATTGAAAATGGACAACTGGCGTGTTTTGCACGCACATAGGGTGAAAGTCCGTGCTACGACTATGCCCTGAACTGTTCACCAAGAGGTGAAGGAGCAGGGTGTGTCTGAGGGTGTGTCTGCAACTCTGCTGCCAGAGGCAGGGACCAGCAGTGTCAGGGCTGCTCCAAGCAAGAAGGTATCTAAGCTGCATTGGTGGACGTGTGGGTAATTGCTCCCTGTTTTACATGGTGGGACTGCGTCTGCAATGCTCTTTGGGCCATTTCTAAGGAAACAAAGTTTGGAGGTTGCAGTGAAGCATTTGACAACTCTAGTGAGCACACTGGCAGGAAAGGTGTGTGGTGGTCCCAGGGTTGCCCACAGAGCAGGGGTTTCCATCACTGTAAGGGCTCTGCCCAGATTAGCGTCATGAGCAGAGATGCTTTCAGGAAGGTTCTCGCATCCCTACTGCCAAAAGTCCTTGAATATAGTTACTGCATAGGTGAGGCAGAGGCCAAAGTGAGTGCTGTGGGATCCAGCACGTGGTGACCAGCACGCCCCAGCATCCCCTCTGCGGGACTGCATGAGTCCAGATCTCTGTTGAGGACCAGTGATTTATGGGAAAGAAAAGATGGCCCATAGCCTCGTTGGAGAGTCACTGGATTGGTAGGTATAATTCAACCTCAGCATCCTAGCCCTCTGTGCCTCCTGCTGCTGATTTTGCTGTGGCCATTTTAGAGATACAATGTGAGGGTGTCACCTTTGCCCCTGCTCTGATGGCCAAGATTGCATTGGCCTTCAGTCCCAGTGGCTCCTGTGGCTAACGAGGCAACCTCTGGAGCCCTCCCTGAAGACCCAGGATGGCAGCCCCCTTTCCCAGGGTGCTATTCTCGGAAGAGCCAAGTGGCACATCGTTTTGGTAGAACTCCTCTCCCCCCTACCCCCGCTGGGAAAGCAGGACAAGAGTAGGGTGGGCTGGGGGGAGGTGAAGTGAGGCAGAAAAGCACATCTGAACTGGAAACAAAACCACCTGTGGGAGAGGGGAGCGCATGAGCCTTGGCCCTTTCCAGAGACCGCCGACTGGAGGCATCCACACTGCTATTCATTGTTCTCTCCCTCGTCTGATGCCTCTGTTCTTTCACATTATAGAACACCAGAACTACTTTGGAATAGATGAAAACCTAGGCCCCGTGGCAGTCAGCATCCGGAGGGAGAAGGTGGAAGAGGCCAAGGAGAAGGAAGGACCCCAATTCAACTACAGAGTGGCTTTCAGGACCAGCGAGGTAACAGAATGTCTCCATTTTGACTGTCCTGGTAGAACTCTGAATACCACTAAAACTTCTATTAGGGGGCATTGGCATTGTGTTTATTAGTTAATGTTAATTATCAAACCGGTCATTGGAAAGCAGCTGAAGAATTTTATTCCAAGTGAAGGATTTGCAAACCTGTCATGGGAAGTTCCATGACCTGTCATAGAAAGCTGCCACCTTTCCTGTCAGGAAGAGTAACGTGACAAAAACAGAAAGGCCTGGGCTGAAGCACAGGAGACACAGTTCACGTCAGCTTGAAATCGGTTGTAGACCTAATATGGAGTCCAAAAGCTTGGGACCGGGCCCATGTCTGACTAGTGAGTCTCCCAGTTGGGCAGTGCTAAGCACCACACTGCACAACCCTGGCTGGTCTTGCTATGCATGAGAAGTGAGATTATTCCACGGATGGTACGGTGTGGCAGGAAGAATTAGATCCCATCTACAATGGGTTTTGTTCTTTCAGCCTGTTGAATCTCCTCAGCACTGTGGGTTTGTTCCTGCAGCCCACCATATCTGGCATATTTTCTGTTTTGGTCAACTGCTTCCAGAACAGAGAGAACAAGAGCTTTCCCCAGTGTCCTGCAGGTCGCCTGAGCACATAAGCACATATGACCCTATGCTGAGACACAGGTGTGTACCCTGGTATGTGCAGAGCTTCCTGTGGCCTGGGCTTGATGCTGGGTGTGCATAGATGAGATGAGCCCTCTTTCAGAGTGAGCCAGTTCAAGTTATAGACTCATGCTGTCTGGTGCTAGTAGCCACAGTGGCTGAAATTCACCCACTTAGGAAGCAAACAATTAATTGCTCCACATGTAGGCAGCCAAGAACAGGCCTTAACCAAGTCTGCTGTTTGCCTGCAGCTGACCACCCTGCGAGGAGCCATCTTGGAGGATGCAGTGCCCTCCACGGCCCGGCATGGCACTGCGCGGGGCCTCCCCCTCAAGGAGGTGCTAGAGTTCGTCATCCCGGAGCTGAGCATCCAGTGCCTGCGGCAGGCCTCCAGCTCCCCCAAGGTCCCAGAGCAGCTGCTCAAGCTGGACGAGCAAGGGGTGCGTGCAGTGTGAAGGGTGGAGTGCATGAACCTGTGTCTTGCTTCTCCAAGTATGGAAACGCCCATCCGTCTTGCTTTTAAGCCCACTTATTGAGCATTTTTTTGGCCTAGTTTTTCCAGAATGCACCTGACTTGTAGCTTAGAGAGTCAGGGTGTCTTCTGCCAAGTTGTGGCTTGTTTCTTTTCCACCATGGCTTCTGTGTGTCTCACACATGATTTGCAGAGGCTGATGGCAGCTTTGTGCAGGGTTTACAGATCTCACTTTGGCCCTCCCATCTACTCTTGCTGAGGTCCTGTCAGGGTCACACTGGCAAGTTTATGCACAGGGTGGGAGAATTAGACTCCAGCGGACCAGGACCTAGTCCTTAGGGATATCCTATGGGACATTTGTGGCTGTATCACTGATTCCAGTGGTCACCATCACCAGTGTCAGTGGTGACTGTGAAAGACCCTGCAGTGTCTCCTGAGCCATTCACAAGTGACCACTGGTTCTAACGAATTCATAGGAGGAACTTTCTTGTACTTAGTGTATGTTTGGAAATGATGGTCACTACTGAAGAAATACTTGGCTACAGCCATTAACACTGGGAACAAAGTATGGGACCTGCACATGGTCTCACAGTCTACTTAGGTCAGAACCATTGTCTTCAATGTGTTGATGGAGCCCCAGGGCCTAGGCTCTCTACACACCTGGCGCTAGTCAGCTTAGGAAGCTGTTTGCCTCAGGTTGTGAGCAGGGGCAGGTTTCTTCATGGTCCCCAGAGCACCCAGGACACAAAAGGCTTATGGAGGTCACCCTGGCAGGCTCTGAGCATCACACACCTCTTACACGACATGCTCTTGGGTCATGGAAGAGACCGAGCTCATTGTGTTGCTGCTCATGGAACTTAAGTATCATTTTGCCTTAGTATTCTGCCATAGTCAGATGCCTGTTTTTATTAGAGGCTATATGTGAGTGATAAAAATGAACAGTGGCATTATGGATTGATGTCTTTAAGGAGCTGTGATGACTGAGGATCTGTCAGTCTTTGAGGCTCAGATTACTTGCAGTGAGATGAAGAGCTCTGATTGCATGAGTGAGAAGTCATTGTTCCTTGTAAAATGAGAGCCTGTAAGTGAGATTCGGTTTCTCTCTCACCTGGGGAGGAACCCCTTCCTCCCAGCCTGGCATATCTACACAGCATGTCCCCAGCCAAGGTGGGCTTACTGCAGGAACTCTTCAGCTGCTACTAAGACCCTGTGTAGCACATTGTATCTTTAGCAGATGTTTTCTTTACAAGCTAGTAAGAAATGTGAGAAATGATTGTTATTGTACAACCAAAGTTACTTTTATGGAAACAAAACATTGTTCTGTTTATAGATGACATATATCACAATTTCCACAGGATTCTTGCTTTTATAGACCTTGATTTGATTTCTTTTTTTCTTTATAGTATTATATATTCTTATGCATGTTCAAATAGATTATAGAAGAAAAATGCACTAGAACCTGGGAGGGGAAACTTTTTTAAAGTCTGAGGCCTTGCCTTCTTAGTCACTTTGGAAGATATTTCCAGCCATTAGTGTAGCATATTAGATTAAATATGTACACAGTGGGCATAAGGAGATGCTTGTACTGGACTGTCTGCCTTTGCTGAAACCATGAAGCTCTGGCCATTATTCTCTTCCACAGGGTTTCTGCCTCCTCCAACTCCAACTGTGTGGGGCATGGGTTTGGTTCTGGTTTGTAACAGCCTGTGTGGGAACAATGCTTATGGGAACAGTTCAGACTTGCTTTTCTGGGAACGGAGTTCTAAACTTCTATACTTGTAATTTTGCTGAAAGTTAGTGTGTCTACTCTTAACATTCCTTCCCATTTCAGCTGAGCTTTCAGCACAAGATTGGAGTCCTTTACTGCAAAGCAGGCCAGAGCACAGAGGAGGAGATGTACAACAACGAGACTGCTGGACCAGCCTTTGACGAGTTCCTTGACCTGCTTGGCCAGAGAGTAAGGCTAAAAGGGTTCAGCAAGTACCGTGCCCAGCTGGACAATAAAAGTGAGCTCTGTGTGTGTGTGTGCATGTTTGTGTATATCTGCATACATGTGTGTATGTGTATACTGTGTGTATGTACTGTGTGCATGTGTCTATATGTATGTGTTTGCTCTGTATATATGTGTTCTGGGGTGGGGCAAGTGCACCTGTCTATGTATGTGTGTGCACTGCATACACTGTATGTGCACAAATCTGTTTATACTTGTGTGCACTGCATGTATTTGCATTGTGGGCGCTATGTGTGCATGTGTATGTGTACATATACAATATGGGACATAAGTCTCTGATGCTGGGCACAGGAGCACATTCTCCAGACCCAAGTGTGTCACATTCAGAACTAAAAAGGTCAGGCCTTTTCTTTGTAACTAGTAGATTCCTTCAGTGTCTTTCTTCATATCTCTGTGATCTGAGAGATGACATCATCCAGGGACTCTGCTGAATTCTGACCCTCCTAATGCAGAGGACGCCCAGGGGTATCAGTGTTTGAGGTCCTACCATACATAACGTAGATGGATTGTGAATTTGTCAAGAATTGTTCTGCTTTTCCAAAAGATGACTAACTAGCTCCATGGTGAGCAGAGTTCAAGAGTCGCCATTTCTTAATGTGTGCTGATGTGGAAGACTCAGTGAGAGTGCCGTCCGTTAACGTGCGGCGGGGCACTCCTGCATGTCGCTGATGAAAAAGGAACTTACTGTCTTCAAGGGAAGAACGTTTTAAAAAAATAGTTTCATCTTCATTCTCAAAGTCAGTCAACCCAGTTGCACATTCCTATGTTCTAGTGCCCCAAAATGACTACAGATAACTGACTGCTCATGTGAGGGTGCTGCCAGACTGTGGGCTACTCTACGCCCTTCTGATACTTGTGCCTAAAACCGCTGGCCGCTCTCCACCAGGCCAGCTCCACCAATGCTTCCTGAGTGGAGAGCAGAAGGGAGTGGCAGAGACCACGTGCTTAGCTGAAAATTCATGAGGAAGACAGAACAAGGATGTTGGATGGGAGCTGCTAGAAGCTGACTGTGGGGAATGCAGGACAGACCCTGTCCAGGCTCTGCTAGTTTGCAATTTGGTGTGATAGTCTCAACTCAAGCACCTTTTATAACTTTCTGTGTCAGAGCTCATATTCCAGACTTGCCTGACTTGCTTTGTCATCTTTATTTTCAGCTGATTCCACAGGAACGCACTCCCTGTACACCACATACAAAGACTATGAGCTCATGTTCCATGTGTCAACCCTGCTTCCGTACATGCCAAGCAACAGGCAGCAGGTACGTCCTCACAGCCTCCCACTCCCACTCGCAGTCTGCAGACAACAGTAGTGTTTTCTTGACTACACTGACCATCTCTTGCTCTCTTATCCATTGCAAATATTTAAGCCTTAATGTGAGTGTTGCTGTTCTTTCTTGTAAGGAAACACAATTCTGGGCTTACCTCTATTGCTTGCTGTACAGAATCTTAAGAGCAATGTGTCAGCTTCATTAATTACAAAAAGGACAGACCTAGGTTTCCTCATGTGGCTGAAAACTGACTTGCAAAAATACTACTTCTAGTTGCTAGTGATATTTTCTTCTGTCTTGATTGATTTCCTTTGTTTTAATTAGGTTGATTGACCTCAATGTGTTAACCCTTTTAGAGAAGAGAAACCATTACCTTCGAATGCTGTCTGTAAGAATGAAGAAAACTTGAACAATGTATAAAACATCATTGAGCAGTTAGCTGACTTTGGGGGTGTAGATAAAAAATGGGTGGAGCTGGTTGTTTTGCAAACCTTGCTAGAAGTGCTAGAAAGGCAGTGAGTGTCCAGTCTGCAAGACCGAGGACCCCTGGGCAGGAGCCACCTTCCCACCTCATGTGGAGTCCTGGGCTCTGCCAGTGAGCACAGAGGCACTGAGAGCAGAGCTGCCTGAGCTCTGCAGAGATCTGCTGCACAGTATATCTCCAGATGCTGCCTAGCTGCTCGTCTGATGGACTGAAGCACCAAGACCAGTTAATCTTTCTAGTAAATGAAACCTATTGTTTCAGATTCTTTTCCTGTTTCTTTTTTTTTAACACACACACATACACACACACACACACACACACACACACGGAATTCATGAATAGAGTCAAAATTTGCACTTTCTTCTCTCCAAAAAATGGGACCAGCCACCTCCCTCCCCTCCCCATCACTGTGTAAGCTGCACCTTAGATCTTACCTTACCACTGGGGTAAGAACTTGGGCCCCAACTGTTCAGATTCTTCACAAGAGGGAACGAAAGCTCCTCTGTTCCTTTTCTTCTTGTGGTGATGGCTAACTGGGTTTTATTATGTTCTGTCTAACACTCAACCCTGTGTCCTTCTTGGATTTTCTATTATGTTTTCTACTATCTTTTTTCCTACAGCCTTCAGAGTTGCTAGGTTCTATATCTCTGGTTTTGCATTACAGCCACTAGATCACCTATGTGTTTTGTGGAGTTTGGTTTGTTTGCTTTATAATACTGGGGCTTGATCTCAGGACCTCATGCATACTTCAACAGGCAGGCACAAATTTGTGTGTGCTTTAACAATGTTTGCTCTTTAAAAAAACTGATTTCCCACTATGCTGAACAGATTCAGTAGGCATTAAAGAGGCTGATTTAGACCAGGCCAGTTGTCCTGCTGTGAGCCCAACAGTCGTTAAGCTTTGGGAGGTGTGCTCAGACACGGAGAGGGTCTGCAGGCCATCAGAGTGAGCAGAGTGGGAATGAGGCCAGTCTTATCATGTTGGCGAGCTCTTATGGTACTTGAGCCACTGGACTCAGCTAGTCCAGCCTTCCTTTTGCACACAGCATCTCCAGAGTCTTGGAGTCCCTTACTGTTTCTGGAACTCAGAACTGACTCCTAGAGTGTTTTGTTCTGTGGCAGTTCTGTGGCCTGCCTATAACTGACCTTCACTATACATACAAAAGGCTAGAAAGTCTGGAGTTAGCATATTGGTGGGGCTCATCATAGTAGGTAGGTGTGTTAAATTTCCCAAGCTAGAGATCCAAAGAGAAGTTGCCATGTATCAACAACAAACGATGTGACCTAAAGACCTATCTAGTTAAAACGTTTGGCTTCTGACTTCAGGGGATTCCATGGTGGCAACTGTGAGAGGCTGGCGGATGGAGTGGGCTGGGACACAGAGTAAATCATTTGCTCTGATGCTTACCTCACTTACGTCCCGTGGGACAGTCTTTATTAACTCACCATCACAGATGAATCCTGTAAGGTGGTTCTCTTGGTAGCACTAAAGTATTGTCCCTAGCTACCTGTCTGGAAAGAAATTAGCCCGGGAGACATTATTCATTAATTCTCCAAACAATGCTTCCTGCCCCAGTGGGCTGTGTCTGCTCGAAGCCACCCTCCTCCCCTTCCCTTCCATCATAGAGCAGTGAGAAAAACACACAAATTAAATACTAAGGAAAACATTCATTTTTACAAGGCTCATGAAGTATCATGTTTGACAATTTTTTTTTGACTAATGTACCTGCTAACTTCCAGGATGTCTGATTTCTTTCATCTCTAAACTGGAGAATGCTGTGAAAGGACAGGGCTTGTTTCCTCATTTCTCCTTTGAAGAGCTTCAGAGTTTACTCTTATTACTCCATTGGCTTATAACCCCTGCCACCACTTTACACATTTTCTTGCATTGATGTGCACTGATAGAACCATGATCATATTCTCTAGACTTTAAAAACATTTGTGGATCCATTTTACAAAGGAAAGAGCTTATGTTCAGAAAAGGACAGAGGCAGTGGGCTTGTTGCCAGAGTAACTAGACACAAGTTCTCTTAACCTGTGTTCTACATATTCCTGTGATGAAGTGTAAAATAGTCCTCCGGGGAGGGATGATGGCAAGCACATATGTACAGTAAGCCATTGGGGTGACCACAGATACAGGGCACGTGGCCATGGCCATGACACAGTGGGCACAGCCACGGAGCACCAGACGTAGCCATGGAGCATGCGGAGCTGAGGGGCACTGGGTAAGTTCTGCCCTCTACATGTTAATGGAAAGCCCTCAGGCACAGAGGCACAGCACAGCGATCACTTCAGGAGGAGGTGGTGCAATACAGAGCCCTTTCCTGGCTTCTGCCCCTGAGCCGTCTCCTTGTCACCGAGTGGTGTGCAGTATGGGCCACTGTCCTGTGAGCTACACATGGACTATGACTTCATTTCAATTAATGGAGAGAGAAGAAAGAATTCTTCTTTTTGCCTAGTACATAGGATTAGGCAATCAGTTTTTAACTTAAATACTCATTTGTATGCTATATTTTACTTAGGCTAGGAATGTTTTTTAAAGCTGTAGATTAAGACAAGGCGGTTCATTGGTTCTGTATTCCAGTATAGTGATGTTTGTAGCTATACCTGAGATAAAATGAGAATCTCCACAACACAAATCAGTGATTGCACTGGCCTGCAGAGAACTCTGAGGGAGCAAGCTACATAAATCACAACTGAGGGACTAGCAATGAAATCCTTTTTGTATCTGGGTTGAAAAGGTTTTTAAAGTTGAACTTGATGCTCTTTACAGTGAAATACACTCTGTAGGTGCCAAATAAACTCAAGGTGAGGTCACTGCCTTTGTGGTTGCTGGTAAAAGAGTGTACTGCACTAGCATAAGGCTCCTGGGAGGAGGATCACAGTGTTGAGTACCATTCTGTGACCTTGCTTGTGTCCGCATACAGAGTTCCTCACCTATTAATGCGTTAGCCTGTGTTCACAGAGAGGCGGTGATCACAACTTTCTGTGTGTTTCCTAGCTCAGTAAAGTAGATTTACATGGCTTATATATTTGTTTATCAAATGCGCACTTGGGTGCCTGTTCTCCGACAGGCTTACCAGTAGAAGCCTGGAAACCAGGTCAGCAGGACATGTCCCTCACTATTCTCAGGGAGGCTGGGACCCAATATAGGAGAAGTGAGAGAGTACAGCCCCTAGGGAAGAATCAGGCCTTGTATGCAGAGAGCCACAGTGTGGTTCCACTGGCCTGTGAATCTACTTGTCATTGCTCTGACAAAATACCTGGGAAAGTCAACCTAGAGAAGGAGAGGTTGATTTGGCTTGTATTTCAGAAATTTCTGTCCATGGTCAGTTGTGGTGAGGTGGAAGGACATAGTGAAGGGAGGCTGCTTGCCTCACAGCAGCCATGCAGGGAGAGGGGCAGAGAGACCCACCAGACATAGTCCTGGCTGACCTGTACCCTCCAACCAGGTTCTACCTCCTGAAATTCCTCCACTTCAGTAATGCTCAATCAATCATTGGATGAAACCTCTGATGAGTCCCTCCCAGGCCCCTCCCACTCCAGGGCCCCAATCCAGTCAGCCCTCATGCCCCTCCCACTCCTGCAAGTGCCTTCAACACAGGGTCTTTTAGTGGCCATTTCACACCCAATTTACAGCATCAGGGAAGAGCGGAAATTTCTTCAGGATCCTTCTCTCCTGTAGATGTGCAGTTTCTGAGATTATACAGGATGGGATTTTCTGGCTACCAAGCTAGTCTAATTCTGTGCTTCTAGATAGCATTAGGTAAACAAATGAAGAGAGGAAGGGGAAGAGAATGTAGTCATAAAATTCAATGCATATCCTACAAAATTAAGAAAATTGAGGGAAGGGGATCGTAAGGGTGTGGGGGAATTGGTGAAAGGGTTGACATTGATCAAGATGCATAGCATTCATAAACTGCTTCCCTGAATGGCAGCTTTTTCCTACAGGTGTTTAAAGATAACAAAAAAAGCCAAGTTTCAGTCATTAGTTTTGATACGTTAGCCACCAGAGATGGTTTGCAGTTTTGTTTGAGAAGTGCCCATCAGTCAGGGCTGCTATGCCAGCCGAGGCCTGCGTGCAGCCGTGCAGACTCTTCAGCAGATGCACCCTCCCCCACATCACTCACATCTTCAGGTTAAAGTGAATGTGCTGTTTTAAGATCAGAGGAAATAGACACAGAAAATTAGGAATAAACTTGAGTATTTAGGATTTGCTTTGTCTCACGCACACAACCCGCTTCGCTGTATCTATGCCACCTTGAGCTCTCGCTTCCTGGGACCAGCTCTGATTTTCCTCATCTCTGTCTCATTGGGTAATGAGAGCTCCTGTGTGTTCTTTTTTTTTTTGTCAGTCATGGGCTTGAACTCTGGGCCTGGGCGCTGTCCCTCGGCTCTTTAGCTCAAGGCTAGCGCTCTACCACTTGAGCCACAGCACCACTTCCTCCTATGTGTTCTTGTGGGTTGTGTTGAAGGAGGTTTGCTCACCACTGTGCATTCATGTCCTTCCTGCAGCTTCTACGGAAGAGGCACATTGGGAATGACATCGTCACCATCGTCTTCCAGGAGCCTGGGGCGCTTCCCTTCACGCCCAAGAACATCCGCTCCCACTTTCAGCATGTCTTTGTCATAGTAAAAGTGCACAACCCCTGCACGGAGAATGTATGCTACAGGTGAGCCCACTGCTTCTCTGTCCCTCCCCAGCAGGCCTCTGGACACATCTTCAGCTTGGGGTTATTTGTCCACACCTGCAGACTTACTATTTCCCACTCTCTCTCTCTGCTAACTGTTCTGTCCCCCTGTAAAAGAGAAAGAGAGGACTGGTCACTTCAAAGGGTAGATAGTGCTTTCCCTCAGCTTCCTGAAAAACTCCACCTTGCCAGGCCCCTACAATATGTTGGTTCTGGCCTCTGGGCTATGTTATGCGGCCATTAAGTTTGCCTCTCCTTGAGTACATGAGTCCTTCAAGCCTTCCCCACCCTGCTAAGACCAGGAAGCCATCCTTGCTTTGGTGACCTGGATCTGAAGTCTTGTGTGTGACTTGGCTCCTGAGTACATCCTGACCAGGCTTCTTTAGCTCTTGGCCTGGTCTTGGGCTCGGAGCTGTACATGTTGGCAGGTATGCACTTGCCATCATAGTTTGAATCCAGCTCTCTGGTTGGCCTAGACAGGTACTTCGTTTTTCTTATCCTTCCTAAAATTGAGAATTATATGTCTCTACTTTATGATGTGGTTACACAGAAGACATAGCTTACATGGAAACAAACCAGGAGAGTTTCTGGCATTTGCCCTAAGTTGTTTTTGTTTTATGCTTTCAAAGCAGTCATTGCTAATTGAGCCAACTAGGATCAGGCCACACATGCCCAGAGTGTTTGTGGAGAATGCAGACCTGTAAACCTGCAGAGCTCTGTCCACAGGCAGGAAGACCAGTCTATGCTTCAGACATTGCTAGCCTGCACCTAGCCCATCTGAAAAGAGCAGACTGAAAACCACTAACCACTGGACCACTTTGGCCTCCTAGTTGTTTATCAGCCAAACAGGGTCCTGACCTGCTATGCATTGCCTACTGAAATAGGCCTAGAAGTAGACATGAGGCCACATTTTCCTTGCATGGGGTTCTTACGTATCTCTATGCTTAGGATATTGGCCCAAGTGCTCAAACCTACTTTAAGAAAATCATAGCCTATGTTCTGTACAAGCACTGTGCCTAATAGACAGTCCTGGTGCAAACATAGTAAGCTAGCTGCTTCTGAGATCTTACCCCACAGGCGTGTACCTATACAGAATGTTCTAAAATGCACCTTCCTCATAGATTGGAAACCTACACCTAAAGTTTATTGTATTTGGTACTATTGTTTTTTGGCTTCCTACTGTTTTTAGGTCAAAACAAGTATTTTTAATTATTTTCTATCTTTATGGCTATATCATGAGCTCATTAGCAAAACGCAAAATGTGAAGGTCATAACTTATTCTCATTTAAAGTTTTCTGGTTCTAATTAAATTGCTACTGAAAGAATGTATGTTAAAACCAGCATATATCTGCCACAGAATAAAGAGTGCAGTGCTTTATCTTTGCCATGGCAGAAGACAGCATATGCAGTCCTTCCGAGCGGGCCAGTGGCTTGTGAGGAACCACACTGGTTGTGAGATACACGTGAAAGTAGTGCCTCAGCTATTGTCTCTCACCTGCACCCACCAGGCCTGAGGCTGGAGAACAGCCCTACAAGTTCACTGGTCATCTTGACACTGGGCCTTTGGAAGGGGAATGTTGCTCCTCTCATCTTCTTGTCCTGTTTTCTTCCTCAGTGTTGGAGTTTCCAGATCAAAGGATGTGCCATCATTTGGCCCCCCAATCCCTAAAGGTGTGACTTTTCCAAAGTCAGCAGTGTTTCGGGACTTCCTTCTAGCCAAAGTAATCAATGCAGAAAATGCAGCCCATAAATCAGAAAAATTCCGAGCAATGGCCACCCGAACCAGACAGGAGTACTTGAAGGACCTGGCTGAGAACTTTGTCACAACTGCCACAGTAGACAGCTCCGCAAAATTCAGCTTCATCACTCTGGGCGCAAAGAAGAAGGAAAGGGTGAAGCCCAGGAAGGATGCCCATCTGTTCAGCATTGGGGCCATTATGTGGCACGTGGTAGCCCGGGACTTTGGCCAGTCTGCAGACATCGAGTGCCTTCTGGGGATTTCTAACGAGTTCATCATGCTGATAGAAAAGGACTCCAAGAACGTGGTCTTCAACTGTTCCAGCAGGGATGTTATTGGGTGGACATCTGGACTAGTGAGTATCAAGGTGTTCTACGAGAGGGGAGAGTGTATCCTGCTGTCTTCAGTGGACAACCGTGCAGAAGACATACGAGAAATTGTCCAGCGACTAGTCGTAAGTACCTGGTCTGTGTCTTCCACCATCCTCATGTTTCACTCCCAGATTCCCAGTAGGTGCCATTGGGGACACTCTTCTATATTTGCAATGCATGGGGAATCACCTGCTGCTTCCAAGGTGTAGAGTCTGTGGGAGTCACTGAGCACCTGTCCTAAAGTGATTAAAAAATTGCTCCAACTTTGAAAAGAACACTGAGATGTATTTACTGTCATGTGAAGGAGAGCCAGAAGTGTGTGAGTGTTCTCCCTGTCTGTGTTCACTGACCTGACACACCTGCCCAGGTAACCGGTGGATAGAGTCTCTGCCCATCTGAATGTCCGGATCTCTGTGCACTGCCCACACTACGTGTTTACACAGGGCAGTTCTTTCATTGCTAACCAGATCAAATGATATTAATCTCCCTGCCACGGATTCTAAGGATATTTTGCAGAAATAGCCATTTAGTTGAAACAATTTAAAGTACAAGAAATCCAACTTAAAAGAGGTTTTTTGTTTTGTTTTTTTGGGTCCGGTCATGGTGCCTGAACTCTGGGCCTGGGCGCTGTCTCTCAGCTCTTCACCTCAAGGCTAGCGCTCTACCACTTGAACCACACCGCCACTTCTGGCTTTTTTCTTTTTGCTTATGTAGTGCTGAGGAATCGAACCCAGGGCCTCATGTATGCAAAGCAAGCATTCTACCACTGAGCCACCTTCCCAGCCCCTTGGTTTTTTTTTTAGATGTGATTTTTAGTCCAAAACTCCAACATTGATCTCCCTGGTTTTAACAGACATATTCCTGCTCCTGATTTTTACAAAGCAAAATTTAGATTTTAGTTTGAGTATATGCAGTAGAAGCAGCATGAATATATCCAGCTATTTCAAGTTTTTAACTATTTGATATAAGAAGGTGATATAAGACGAAAACATGCTTTGACTATAAAATGTCTCCTTTGTACTTCAAGGAGGATGTATTATTATTTTAATTAGAAAATATTTAGTCACTATGAATCATTTTAAAAGGAGAAATTACACACCCATTCTGGTCCCATTTCCTCCCACTGTTAGAAATCTCCCATCTGTTATTAGAAGATGCTGTTTTATTAAAATCAGTGTCTTGTCAGCCCTGGGGAGACAGTCTCCTTCTTGAATGAAACTATCCACAGTAAAGGACCAGTCAGCATGTGCAGACTAAGCTGTGAGTGCAGGCGGGCAGGGTCTGAGGTGTCAAGGATTCCTGTGAACCTCGGGCTGCCCTGAGGTTTGGGTGATTTTAGATTTCTTTATTTTAGCACATCCACTGCATAACCACAGTTGTCCTTCTGAAAATGCAACATATATGCTACTTCTCTGACCACCAAAACACGCCTGCCATAGATGTTCACACCTAGGTTTATTTGCTTTCTACTCCGTGGGCCCACCCTGCCCTGGCCCTGATTGCCTAAGCTGCCAGAGGTCAAGAATAAACCCTACTCCAGCGGAGGGTGACTCATAACCTGACACACTGGAAACAAACCACCCCACACATGAAGGGAGAGGAACAAAGGACTAGAGCAGTGTGGCAGCAATGACCCCCATAGAGGATGCACAGAGATCTGGCAGTTGCCTTCTATGTCCATGTAGATAAGACTCAGGGAAGGACAACTGAAGGGCCCCCCTGGGGTCCACCTGAGTCCACGAGGCCCCACTCAAAGAGCTGTGCTCTTCAACCATGGTGAATTTCTTAATAATTCTTGAATCAGGCCCCTGCATTTTATTGTGCACCAAGACCTGTGAATGTGTTCTATACAGTCCTGGGCACAAGAACAGGAAGGAGACTGCTTCCAGTGGTAACAGGATCTCCAGAAAGATGGAGAGCATCCCTTTCAGACTTGTAGGCTGTTAAGAAACAAAGAATGATACATAAAACTGAAGTAGAAGAGGCAGCAGGTGGGCAATTGGAAGAGGTCAGAAGAGGCAGAGCCAGAAGGACTCAGAAACAGCCAATGATGGCTGTTGTAATATGTGAATGTTAAATCTCACCTGACAATCTCATTGACATTTGAAAGAAGAAAAAAAAGCAGGATACATTGTGAAGATGTCATCTTTTGGTAGGATTGTGTCAAACAAAATTGAAAAAGAAGTGAGGGAAAGCTTCATCCGTGCTTTACATACTTTGAAAGTGCTTTTTCAGCAGTGTTTTTTTTACAGTTCATAACTTGGAAAATGTGAATGTTTTCAAAACTTTATATTCCCAACTAACACTTGTAGTCCCTTCTTTCATTCTGCTGCATCCAGAATGTCATGCTTCTCTGAGAGAAGCAATCATTATGTGGCTTTGGGTTACCATGGAAACAGGATGCTGATGGGGGCAGCCATTCGCGCCCCACAGCTGTCCTCACAGCCCAGGGCTCATTAAACAGGTATCTGTGTGTTCAGAGCATGGTTCATAGAAGGGGAGCATTTATTAAACTGAAACTTCTATCCCGCCCCAGGCCTTTGGAGATGGGCTATGATACCTCCCAGCTTGAAATTTCCCTCAGAAAAGTGATGTCAGAGTCCTCAAACGGTGTTTAATGAGCCATGTTTTCCTTTCATGGCGTTGCACTTAGCGCTTAGTCAGCGCCTCTGAGGGCTACGTGGTCTAATTACTGAGCTTGGAGCCCCAGGAGGGTGAAACCAGCTCTCCTCTCATGCTCTGCCCGGGGCACTGCACAGACTCCTACTCTTCAGGATGCACACTGGAGCTGCTTTTTCCTGGGGTTGTCTTTGGCCCCTGGAGATAGGCAGGAGCGGGAGAGACTGCAGAGCAGGGAGAGATCACAAAAGGGGGAAAGATGACAGAGGAGGGACAGATGGCAGAGGGGGAGAGGAGATAGAGGGGGAGGGGTACCAGAAGAGAGGGTGAGGGGGAGAGGTGACAGAGGGGGAGAGGTGGCTGCAGGCACAGGTGCACCCACTGTCACTGCACACTCTGGCCTGTTTAGTGCCCCATTAACAGAGGGCCATGCTCCTGGCTAGTAGTACAGGCAGTCCCTTCAGAAGAGAGGCTTGAGGGACAGAGCAGGATGTGGGCAGGCAGGGTGCTACACAGAGAGCCTTGGCAGCTTGGCCATCTGACCTCGCTGGGCTCCTGCCTGAGTCCAGAAGCGACTTGGAGAAAGCACTTTGGGCCCCATTATTTTTTAAGTGAAATAAAATTGTCCACTTGGTTTTAGTGTTTGATGGTTGAGACTTACATGGTCTTGAAAGTGTTTTAAACATTCTCTCCACTGCTGTAATCTGAAGTGACATTTACATCAGCTTACCAAAGAAGGAAGCAGAGGGAGTAAAGCTAAGAAGGTCCCAGGCAGAAGTGTTCAAGCAAGGGCAGGACTCACATGAGGAATCTGAGCCTTTGGGGAATGGAGCCAGCGTGGTGCTTTGGTTAACTCCCTTGCACCTACTGCCCAGTCCCCTGTGGCAGGCCCCAGATTTAAGTGTCCCTGACTTGCTACCTTGGCAGTCAGCTGGCCTGGTGCACCCAGGGGAGAGCTGGGGTGAGTCCGTCTGTGTCTCAGGCAGTCTCCAGAGCAGCAGCTAAGGCCTGAGCATGAGGGCATCTCACCATCTGCTTTCCCCATAGATTGTGACGAGAGGCTGTGAGACTGTGGAAATGACCCTGCGGAGGAATGGGCTGGGCCAGCTCGGCTTCCATGTGAACTTCGAGGGCATTGTGGCTGATGTGGAGCCCTTTGGCTTTGCCTGGAAAGCAGGCCTGCGCCAGGGCAGCCGCCTCGTAGAGATCTGCAAAGTGGCCGTGGCCACACTGACCCACGAGCAGATGATAGACCTGCTGCGGACTTCCGTGACTGTCAAGGTGGTCATCATCCAGCCCCACGATGACGGCTCACCTCGGAGGTAAGCACAGGGAAGCTGGGAAGGAGTAGCAGACTCTCAGAAGGGGTGGTCAGACCCTCTGCCCATGTGACCTAGCGTCAGCCATTGGAAAACGGTGGAGAAAGGTTGGAAAGCTGGTTACTATGTGGTAAGTGACAAGTTCTAACCTTGGTAAGACACCAGCTTTCTAAAGTTAGAGAAAGTATGGACCACAGGGAAGGAATGACACCAGCTGGCTGTCTCAGCCCAGAGACTTGTGCCTGCAAGGAGACAGCTGCAGCACAGCACAGCCTTCAAGCTACACCACTCTGCACAGTCACTTCTTTCTGTACCAGGAAGTCAGCCATGAGTAACAACACACTCAAGGCTCCCTATGTCTAAAGAAGTGGTGTCAGCTCCTACTCATTCAAGGTGTTAGCAACAGGCTTGTTTCTCACAATGGAAAGCAGTCCTGTTCTGTTGCTAACGAAAAATAATAATGCTCAGCATCAAGAAAGTGCTAGGCCAGAGATGAGGGGTGAGGGTTAAGAGCATGCCACCCTGTACACAGGGCCATGTGGGCCGAAGTCCCACGGTAAAATCCCCAGCTTGCCCTTTGCCTCTCCCAGGGGGTTCCTGCAGGTAGCCTCCAGAATGCTGGCTTTGCAAGAGTGAGAGTGGCTAGGTGTCTCAGCCTGGCTGTGTGGCCCTGGCAACTCCTGTGTTCTCTCAAAGCCCCCTTCACCATCTGGAAGACGGGGCCAGGGTGCTGCCTACTTCTTGCAGTTTTTATGTTGAATAAGATGATGTCATAAGTACTTAGACCCTTCCAGCGGAATCAGGGCTCCCTTCGTAGTTTAGAGAAAAGAAAACTCTAAGATAACCATTTCAATTTCCTTCACATTAAAGAGGAAATTCTTCCCATCAACTGTGGACCTACTTTCTGGCTTCCATGCCATGCTTGTCCTTCCTCTCTCTCCCCCTTCCTCTAGCCGGTGCTGTCCAGGGGCTCATTCATGCTCTACATCCGAGCCTGAGCCATGTATGGCTGTCCTGTACTTGCAACAATAGCTGCTTTTCATTTTCATTTTTATATTTAATTAACCACTTATAGATAGTGGCTTCTCTAGTGGATGGGTCAGCTCTAAACCATGATCTCTTAAAAAAAAAAAAAACAAGCTAGGGCTAAGCACTGGTGGTCCATGCCTATTATCCTAGCTACTCAGGAGGCCGAGATCTAAGGATCTTAGCTCAAAGCCAGCCTGGTCAAGAAAGTCCATGGAACTCTTATGTCTAGTTAACCACCAGAAAACCAGAAGTGGAGCTGTGACTCAAAGTAGTAGAGTGCTAGCCTTGAGTAAAAGAGCCCAGGATCAGCACCCAGGCCCTGAGTTCAAGTCCCAAGACCAACAACAAGAGTGAGTCATATATTATCTTGGTCCATGGGTAACACGCAAAATTTCTCAAAAGCCTCTTCTATTATTAATCTACCACTTAAATTACCATTATCAAAAGAAAGCCACTCTGGGCTTGACTTGTCTTGTTTTGCTTTGAGCTTGTGTTGGCTTTTTCAGTGAGTCCCAGGTTTTGTGTCTGCTGGGGAAGCCTTCTACCACTGTGCTACACTCCAGCCACAACCTGATGGTCATGGCCATGTGTCCTGTATTTGTCCAATGTGATTATCAGTGCAGCTTAGTTAACAGGCTGACCTGCCATTGAGTTCATTCTTGTGTCTGACTCTGCCCTGTGAAATCCTTCACTCTCAGTATTGTATGGATCACACTTAGCACTTAGTACAAAGAAGATGAAGATGAAAAAAATGCTTGGCTTAAATGAGACTTGAAATAACTAAAAACAATTATTTTATGCCTTAGAAGCTCAAAGGCTGTGTAAGTGAAAAATCTTTCACAGTGAATTTTAAGCCAGCTACTAGAAATGTTTATGGATAGTAAGGTTCTTCTTCCATGCTAGAAACATAGATGTATGACTGTTGAGAATCAAGTCTTGTCTATAATATAGTCTGATAACTTTGCAGTTGAGAAAAGTGTTTCCAGGTCCTTCCTTTGGGTTAAAAAGAACATTCATTACTTGCCTGTTTTTTTAGGTTTGGTCTACTGATGTTCAATAAGAAATTCTCTATGTACTCAATAGATCTGGGTAATACAAATAATTAGGTTACCATTTTGTCTGGCATTTAGAATATGTAATGTAAAGGAATAGAATTTCTAAAGAATTTCCAAAAATAAATAAAAAGTACAGTGTGAAAGTTCTGGGTATTACCTTTTTTGGAAAACCTATTTTCCTTCCTAAAGAGAAAGGAAGCCATTTACCTGTCTTTATACATAATTATTTGTTTCATATGTATACATTATTGAAAATAGCCAAGTGTATTTACTTAGCGATTTCACCTCTATTTCTTAAAACTCTCATTAATGTCATCCCCTGAGTTACATGGGATTTCCCCTCCCAGTCTTCCAGATTCTAACCTAGCCAGCAGGGCTGTTTGGTGTGCCATAAAGGTCTTTAATCTTCCATGTATTGTTTAAAAGTCCTTCAGCTTAGTGTCATGGGATTTGCTATGAATCTAAATTTTTTAATTTCTTCAGTCCATGTTTGTGTTAGTCCTAGGTGTGATTTCTACCAGTGACTGTAGGCCTGGCACTGCTGCTGTGGTCAGAGCCTTCACAGAAACAGGTCCCCTGCAGCCCAGCCCTGGGCTGCAGCCTCAGTACGCAGAGAGGTATTTTTATTCACAGCCAGGTCCGTAGCAGTGGCACACTTTCTGAGGCTTTTGTTTTATGGTTTCTCTTTCTGCCTTCTGGAGAGGAACCCAGGCCTCAGGAATGCTAGACAAGCACCCTACCACTGAGCACCATAGTTAGGCCTCAGGAAACGGTGAAGTAGGCTAATAGGGGAAATGGGTAGCTCTTAATTCCCACAATGGGGAACAAAACTTTAAAGGAATCTTATTTAATTACAGTAGTTCTATAGCAATGCATACAAGGACCTGGGTCAAGCTAAAGCCACATATTTGATTTGTGATATGGAAAATTACCTCCATCTTATCTCATAAATTGCCTTTTAATTATCAGGGAGGGAGGAAAGTTCATTTTAAATGACCAGGTATTTGCATTTGTGTGTATATATGGTTTTTTCCCTATGAAGTTGGACTTCATATAATTACAGAGGATTAAAAAACAAGGTATTTTAACTTTCATAAATACTGTGGAAAAACATTTCTCTTTATTTTTACATTTATCAACTTGGTATTCGTCTTGCAGTGAGGAAATAATTTGACTTGGAGCCCCTCTTCTCCACCAGCAGCCCAAGAAGCCTCTCACATACTAGCTAGTTTCTGGTTTTCCTGACCCTGGTTATAACTCAGATGCTGCTGCATTAAGTGAAGCCTGTCTGAGGGAAATTATTTATGGCACAACAAAAACACACATTTTGAAATCCCCTTCTTTTCCAGCTCAGGGCAAGACCTGTCCAGCTGTTCCAAGCTTGAAAGGAAGTCAGAGCCATTTTTAGCCTTTCTGGGAGGAGTTCCAGGGAGCACCAGGCTGGGAGGACCCCTGGGAATGCTTATTAAAGGGACCCCTGCTGGGGATGGAAGCCTAAGTGAATGTGTGCAGGCTGGCAGTGAGTGGCTGGGCAGCTTGGGAATTGCACTCTTCAGATGGAAATGAACTTCTGAAGGGTAGAGGAGGCCACCGAGCAGCCCTCTCTGTGGCAGGCAGGAAGAGGAGTTGTGCTGCCTCTCACCCAAGGTGCTTAATTAAGATCTCAGTTCTGCCAGGGGTAGCTCAGCCTTCAGCCCCAGAGGTGGCTGACATTAAGAGGCTGGTAACTAAAGGAAGTAACAGCTCATCAGAATTATGCATGAGCCATTCCACAATGCTAGTGAGTTTAGAAATACGTCCAATAAAAATGGAAATGAAATTCCTTGCTGTGGTGCATCTGTTTTCTGTGATTTTTCATGCTTCGTTGACGTATTACCCAAGATATATTTTACTATATAATGCAAAACCATGGACATTTCCTTAGGTGGTCCTAAGTCTAAATGGGTGCCTTCTCATCATTGTGTAAAATTAACTATGTTCTTGTTGACTGTTTCCTGACTGCTCAATGCCCTCCGGTACACAAGAAGGATGTAGAAATAGCAATAGGAAGGAAAACTGATGGAATCCTGCCAGATTGCAGCTGTGTTGGGGGTGGGGGGAGTAATGGTGAGTTGAAATCTAGACTCAATTGAGTTTTTAGATTAGAATTTTCCAGCTAACTTGTATGGATAATAGGGAAATGACATTCTGATACTATTTTACAGAATTTTTGGTAATGAATTTTCACATAAAGCATGGAAATGATATGGTTTTACTTTTGAGACTACTTTTATGATGGCTGTTCTGTGTCTTCAGTCCAGTTCTGCCAGCACATGGCTCAGGTATTCCGGCCCTGCAGTGGACTCCCTGACTCAGTTTACTTTTTAATCCATCAGTTACTTGGAAATTGGCCTGCTTACTGAGGTCATGAGCAGGACAGGCATGATTTTTACTTCTCTGGGTTTCTTGTAGTCTATCCAACATTCAAAACAGAGTTTCTTACTCACATCTTGGGTACTTGAAACCTATTTTCTGAAACTCATATAACAGTTTATTGCTTGACCATAAAGATCTCAAACTAGTGCCTAAGATGTGGTTGCCTTCTCCCATTAACCCTCTTACTCTACTGCCCATGTTCCAACTCCATCCCTCTGTACTCTACTGCCCGTGCCCCAACTCTCCCTCTGCACTCTACTGCCCGTGTTCCACTCGGTACTGTACTCTACTGCCCGTGCTCCAACTCCATCCCTCTGCACTCTATTGCCCGTGCTCCACTCTACCTGCACTCTACTGCCCCTGCTTTTCCATACTTTACATTGGGACGGTTATCACCTCTAGCAGGAAAGCAGAGGGTGGCCTGCAGCAGAAGCCATAGGCCATTTCCTCATGGACACACACTCACCAGAAATCAAGCATCAAATAGGTAAGACTGGAATCTTCTCTGTATGATACCATATTATTTAAGTACAGTAAAACTTTATTCCTGCTTTCAAGCTTTTGAAGAAAAGCAAAAGGTAGTGGTTGGTTTCAGCAAGAACCTTCCAAGCCTTTGTAACTCTGGAGATAGAGCATTCACCCTGAGCCTAGCCAGGAGGGAAGAGAGGCTGCTGATGGCTTCACTTTCCATATCTCAGGACACTCAGACTTTCCCCCAAGGCCTGGGTCAGGTGGCTTTGTGAACTAAGTGTCTTTTCCTCTACTGTCTAGTTATGTCTCTCTTGCTATCTGTGAATTAATAAGGAAGTCTGTTGAGACATGAATTGCTATTTCGTGTCGTGCCAGGTTCAGGTCTAGCTTGCCGTCATCTTTACAGAGAGTTCTGCTACATGGTTGTATCCAGCAGAAAACTTTAGGCTTTCTGGGTACCAGAGCAAGTCTTTGGCTGAGTACACGGGCATGGGTTAACCCATCAACCTATGAGAGGGTTTGGAAAGCGTCTGATTGAAATACCAGGGATTAGTTCAATCCCAAGGACTGTGAAGGAGTTCTTTTATAAAATGCATGGTACTGAAAAATATGATAATTCACTTTATTTTTTTTTACTTTATTAATTCTGAGATTCTCTTGGAAATGATGACATAACATGAGGTACATTAACTATTTCTTGGTAGCTTTCTAAAACAAATGACCATGTGTTTTGGCAAGCGCACTGGCCTTGGAGTCCAAAGGACTGTATTCTAGTTATTTCTAGCGTTCTTTCCCCTGACCCTCCTTGACCTTTTGTCCTAACAGTGGAGATTTTCTTCCTACTTTCTCATGTGGGAGACTAGGTGCTGCTTGAGGCAGGTCTAGAGGAAAGAGCCTTGTAGCCTGCACCACTTGTGGTGATAGGTTCCAGTGAGGATCAGGCAGCGCAGCACCCTGTGCAGTTTTTCGTCTGGGGACCCCAGTTAAGTTTGGGTGATTAAGCATAGCCTGTGATTTACCTGGTTCTGTTAATTTGCTCAGTCAGCTGACTTTTTTCTTTACTTGTAGCAGTATGCATTCCTCCTTTGAACTTGCTCAGTTCTCCGGGTGTTTCCTCCTTTCTTTTTAAGTAGATTAATACAAAGTAGTAAGTCCTACTTTTGCATAAGATGAAAAGAATAAGATAATAATGACAAGTCCTTCTATAATTAATACCAATAAAGGAAAATTTACAGCTCTGAAGCTTCTTAAGTTTTTAAGTTACCCCAGGTTACCCTACTCCAGACAGGTCAGCAGCGCCCCTACCCCAGGTGTCTGAGTGGTGGATGTAAATGGAGGCTCTTCCCAGACGCAGAAGTGCCACTGGAGGGAATGGGTACTTGATGCCCTGGTGAGGACCTTCCTGGGTCTCTGGCAATACTGTGCATGGCAACCTAGTGTAGGTATCTGCCGGCTGTGAGTCAGAGGGAACCCCATGTACTGCTGGATGTGCCCCCAAACAGGAAGGAGGGCAATCCCACCCCTCAGGGAGTGGAGAAGGAGGGGGGGAGAGCAGGGGGCATGTCCAGGAGTGCAGCAGCAGTCAGTTTACGCCTGTCCTTTGTGCAGGATGAAGTCATCAGGGCCGTCTATGGTGGTGAGTTCAGTGAGACAGACGTACTATGAGCTCCTGGGAGATTCCAGCCCATGAGTGCAACATTTGCAGCTAGTACCTCATGAATGACCTGCTGGGTCTGTGCAGTGCTAAGAGACGAGCACCCAAAGTTTCTGCCTGCATAAGAAGTGTTAAGATTGTGTTCCTTTTAACTGAAAGCTGAGTTCTGTTGACCCCTACATAGCATGGTGATCAGCCATGAAATTGATGATGGGTGTGGTGTTGGTTGCCAGGCAGAGAGGAAGTCAATGTCCACATTTGCAGGGATTGCATCTTTTTTCCCCACTGTCAGAAAATTGAAAAATGTGTCCCCCTCCCTTGATTCAGTGTGGAAAGGAAACCAGGCGTGTGTCCTTGACACATGTGATTTTGTACTGTACAGGAAAACAGCATGTCTTTTCTTGATACATGTTTCTGTTCCACACAAGATTGGCAGCTAGTTTTTTCAGTACTATCTTCTATGAGGTCTTATCCATCTGTCGGGGTCTCTGCTGGCCTCCCTTGCTGGTCAGCAGTACTTGTCATGTGTCCTCTATAACAGGGTGTTCGTGAGAGGAACGAGGTATTCTGCCTGGAGTTCCATGTGAGTGCCAGCCAGGGAGAGGGTGGTACCCAGTAGGTTTATCTCTGCAGACCTCAGAGCCACTCTACAGGCCATGAGCAGTTCTGACACCACTGCCCACACCTCTAAAACCCGGTTCTATCCTTAGAAGCTTCTTGTAGATATGGAGAACAGACTTTGCAAATTGGGTCTGGGGTTTTCAGTGGCATTGGTGTCTTACTGTTGAAGAAAAGCAGATTCCAGCTCCTCTGAGCACTGCTGGCAGAGTGTTCGGATTTGACAACAGGCATTTTAAAATGCAGCCATTCTCCTGAGAAGAGTAAATTTTGTTAGAACAAAACAAGGCTGAATTTTAGTATTTGAAAGATAAGAGGCGGAGAGATAACTCCCCTCTGACCTTTCCTCCATTGATGCATGGCACAGGTTTTGCCAAATCTGTCTCAAATATAAGCCATGATTTGGCATTCATATGTTTTTCCTTCCAAGACGCAAGCAAAATTGTAGTGTCCTGTTGAGGACACCAGTCTGTGAGCATGAATTAAGCAGACCATTACACTGAGCTATCTTCCTTCCCTTTGCTTCTTCCTCCTCCTAAGCAAAGCAGATTGCCTTTTAGACTTCTGGGCTGGCAACCCCTGTTCCTATTATTCCCATTGTAACCATAGGCCTGCTCCTGTCATTCCCATTGTAACCCCAGGCACTTGAGTTTTGGTAGGGTCAGTTGCAGTCTCCCTGGTTCACCCTCTCAGGTACATGGCCCTGAGGACCCCAGCCACCTGCACATCCAGGCTTGCCCCCAGTACAGGTGAGTGGGAGTGAGCTCTTGGGTGCTTTGGTATGATTCTGCTAGGATTTTCTGTTGGGAAGAATCATTAGACCCAGCAGATGTGACATAGTAAATGAGAAGCATTAAAACAGTTCAAGTCTAGGAGTAATCTGTAGAGCTTCGTGGCATTTTAGAAAAGAAATAGTACCCAGTGTAAGCCTGGCCTTGTGGGCATTTGACCTTAAGGAACTCAGAAAATCCAGAGAAGAGTAAACTAATAAGAAAGAAGTGAAGTTTGCTTTGTGGTAATGAAGTAGAAGTGAAATAAAACATAAGAACTGAAATTCACTGTAGTGCAGAGATCTTCCTTAACCTCTAGTGAAGAAGGTTTTCATCCACCCTCAGAAGGCAGCACCGCCACCTCACTTTCCCAAAGTACAAATCAGGACATTGCTTTTTTTCCTCTGTCCTTGAGCCAAATACTGTGGAGAGATTAGAAATAAGTTTTAGGCCACCCATAGTGATTCATACCTATAATCTCAGTTGGAGGCTGAGACCAAAGGATCACAATTCTTGGGCAGCTCAGGCTAAAGTTAGACTCTATCTCAAAAACAAACTAGGTGTGATAGCTCACACCTATAATTCCATTTACTGGGAACACAGAGGTAAGAGGAGTCTGAGGCCTCCTAGGCAAAATTAGCTGGAGACCCTCTCTCCAAAGGACTAGGGGAGTGGCTCAAGTAGTAGTGTACCTGCCCAGAAGCCCTGGTTCAACCTTGAAGCATGGCTGCAGAGGGCAGAGCTCCTGCCTGGTCCTTTGGTCTCTTCTGAGCTTAAGATGAAATCGCTGTCTTCTCTCCACCTCACCCACATCTTCAGTGTTCCATGCCTAAGCAAGTATTGGCCATCACTAGGCAGCCTCACAACCCTAGAGGATTGTGGGAAAGTCAGTGTCAGGCAGAGTCCTGTTAAGGTGACCCAGCAACTGTGTGGAGGCGATAGCAGGAAGTGAATTTCCTAGGCTGGGAAGCTGGCTCAGTGGTAGAGTGCTTGCCTTGCATGCATGAGGCCCTGGGTTTGATTCCTCAGCACCACATAAGCAGAAAAAAAAAAAGCTGGAAGTGGCACTGTGGCTCAAGTGGTAAAGCGCTAGCCTTGAGGTGAAGGGCTGAGGGACAGCTCCCAGGCCCACGACCAGACCCCCCCCCCCTCCTCCCCCCAAAAAGTGAATCTCCTGTAGAACTGCAGCCAGGGAAAGACAGAAAAAGGAGGTAGGACCCTACCGGCCCAGCATGCTAGATGCTTTCTGCCGTGAGTTCTCAGAGCCTGTGGTCCCTGCACAGAGAGACCTGGATGCACCTGACCCACGCTTTGGTACAGCACAAGGAGTCTAATTAAAGGAAGCTGTTTTGACCTGACTGGTGAGGGTCTCTTCCACCCTGATTATTAGCATGTGGTAAATGACGCGTGGACAGCAGGATAGCTTGGTCACCACACAAGAAAGGTGTTTACAGGTTTCTGCCTCTATAGGCAGGACTGTGGAACCTGATTCAGGCTCTTGCTGTGTGATTTTGAGCAGGTGTTCTTTGTCACTGGGCTCTGGCTTCCCATGAGAGTAGGTGGTACTTGTTTTCTCCAGAAGTAGAGGCATTAAACCACACACAGTATGTACAGTATCCGGGAGGCCTCTCATGCCAGGGGCGAATCTCTCTGTTGGAGCAGTAGCTCCTCTGTAGGGAGTGGAGCATCTCAGGGCCCGCATGGTCACCACAGCCAGGCAGTATCTCAGCATCCGCACGGTCACACCAGCAACATCGTGGGGCCTGTGGGGTCACTCTGGCAGTGGCCCCACCTCCTCACCTGCAGAGTTGCTCCCTTTTAGTGTCTCATGTGCCATTTCTGGCAGAGACTCTGAACGGTAGGAGGCATTTGGGGATGTTAATATTACTGTGGGTAATGTGCTCCCTAGGGCAATGTCTGTGCTGTCAGGTGGAGCTGCGGGTGTCTGTGGCTCCACCCTGTCTTCTTGGCCCACCAGGGGGTGTTCAGAGCTCTGCCGGATCCCCATGGTGGAATATAAGCTGGACAGCGAGGGCGCACCCTGCGAGTACAAGACCCCATTCAGGAGGAACACCACGTGGCACCGTGTGCCCACACCCGCCCTACAGCCTGTCTCCAGAGCCTCCCCTGTGCCTGGCACGCCCGACCGCCTGCAGTGCCAGCCACTGCTCCCACAGGCCCAGGCCGCCATTCCCCGCAGCACCTCCTTCGACAGGAAGCTGCCTGATGGCACCAGGTAAGACCATGCTCTTCCTCAGAGGATCCTGCCAAGTGGGTCAGAGCTCAGAGGGTAGAAGAGGCTTTTGCATGTAGCTTGTTCTGAACAGTTAAACAGGCCTATGGCACTTTGCTCAGAACAAGCAGAGTGAGCTCCGTCTAAATGACTGTTTTCTCAGTAAAGGAATTCACTCCTCAAAGTAAACTCCAATCTCACAAGAAGTGGGTAAGAATTTCTTACTAACTTGTATAACTATGTCCCGAGAACAAAATAGCGGTGTGGAAGTTCATGCCCATTCCTTTTGTGTTGATTTTCACATGTTTTATGACCTCAGAAATGTAGTAAGTTTCCTGAGGCTGGCTTATCTGGGTCTCTTCTGATAGCATTGTTAGCATGGACTGGAAACCAGGCTACCTAGACTCAGACCTAACTCCAGCATTCCTCATGTGCTGGGCCTGAGCCTGTTACTTGTTGCTGACCTGCAGTTTCCTCACCTGGGAAATGAACACAGCGATAATATAGCCCTCATCAGGGCATCGGAGGACTGAATGAGTGATTTGGTAAAATACATGGCCCAGCCCACTTTATGTCTACACAGTGCTTAGCAGAATTAGTCATCTGAAAAATGTGGCCATCCTCCACCTTCTCTAGTTAGTTCCCCTGGAGCAATTCCTCTTGAGAACAATGTTCTCACTTGACTTGGCTCCAGGTCTCCTTATGTGAGAGTCAGCTGGGTCTGTGAGCTCCCTGAGTTCAGAGGTGAATGCAGATAGCTGTGCGACAAGAGGCTGCCTCAGCCAGCCACACCTGAAGGAGAGGTCTGCAGAACCTAACATATTTAGATAGTTTAGGGAATTACAGAGAAAACCAGCACTCCAGAAGACAGAGGGAAGACTAGCATGCAAATCTTACAAACAGGCCTCCTTTTTGTATGTCTGCAGATGGAAAAAGATTGCATTTGGTAGCTGCATGGAAATAATGTTCACCAGATTTCAGCTTTCTGCACTGCATAGGTTTTACATACAGAGCCAAAGCAGGGCTTGCATTGTTTCACGTAACCTGATTTCACAGTGGCTTCATAATTTATGTTCTCCAGGGCTGTGTTCCTGCATTTCCATCTTTCACCAAGAGGGATCATTATCTGTGCTTTAAATCTTTAGATAGCCAGTGTCTGTCCCACCACATCTCATTCCTATGACAAACTGCCAACTATAAGCCACTGATACCTTGGGGTATCACAGATGCTTTGTTTGTCTATGATTCAGCCTGTTGACACCATTGCAGGGTTTTCTTGCTTCTTTTTGTCATTCATACATAGTCAAAGTGAGTTTGTTAGAATTATCAGTAGATGCCTGGCAACTAGCCTGATCCACTGATAATAACTCCAGTCTACTTTTCAGAAGCTCTCCCAGCAACCAGTCCTCCTCCAGTGACCCTGGACCCGGTGGCAGCGGACCCTGGAGACCACAAGTGGGCTACGATGGGTAATACTCCTTGCTTTCTCCTTTCCTGCCTTCTTGCCTTCCTACCTCTGTCCCTCCTTTCTACCTTTCATGCTACCTTTATTTCTGGTTTTCTTCCTTTCAACCTTTCTCTCTCTCTCTCTCTCTCTCTCTCTCTCTCTCTCTCTCTCCCTCCCTCTCTCCCTCTCCTAGCAGCACTGGGGCTTGGGTTCAGGGCCTCAAATTCTTGCTTGGTTTTCCATAGACCTCTAGTGTCCTACCACTTGAGCCACGCCTCCATTGGCAATTAAAATCTTTTAGATTATGGATTTTTCTTCCTAGTCTGACTTGGAACCTCCACTCTCAGATCTCAGCTTCCTGAGTGGCTAGGAGTTTAGGTGGGAGCCACCAGTGCTTGTTTCCTTTCTACGCTTCTGGAACTGTGACTCATTCAACAGCATTCACAGTTCACAGGTGGCACTTGAGGCCATTTGGGGAACATGGAAACTCCCAGGCAAGCATTTGATGTATGACTGGCCGGGGTCAGATAGCACCATTTCTGGGAGATGGTGCTCACTGGTCTGTGATTGGAGCCTATTTTTTTTTTCATTTTGATAAGGAAAGGACTTCCACAAGGAAGTTAAGTGTTTGTGAACTCTTGGACGGAGGCCCTTGGGAGCTTCTCCCTTATTTAAAATGCCACTGAGGATGGGAGACACTGGGTAGCATTGAGGCATCTGCTTTCTCTAGGAGGAGTCGTGATGGCTGCCTTTGCACATAGCTTAGTGGGGCCTGGCTTGGTTTTGCATGCTAATCTTGGGCATCCAGCAGCTCAGACATAGCCTGAGGATGCTGAGCACTGAGATACCACGGTCACTGGGAGCAAAGCTGCTGGGAGGAGAGGGGGAGTTGTGCTGGAAGGTGGGGGTGGGGGGATAGCTTTTCCAAGAGACTAGATTCCAGACTGTGGTCGTGAGGGAAGTTGAGGCATCATCTCCCAGGTGCAGGGCAGAGCTCACCCCTGCATCTCCCGGGTAGCGGCACAGCTCACCCCCTGCATCCAGTCTTCTGGTTGGGGCTTGGAATAGGTATTTGTAGTCTGATGTACATACCTTCCTCACCTTAGGAAATTCAGTTCCTTAAAATTGTCAAGTAATTTTTCTAAATTAAGTTACATATTAAACATAGAAGGGTGGTGGCTTTTGTTGCAGTTGTTCTGAGATGTGGGGGTTTTGTTGTTGTTGTTTCATATAAATAGAGAAGCTTCTCTGGCTTTTTCTGTAACTGTGATCTGTAATCCAGACTCTGATGGCAGGCGCACCCCAGCAACGAGCTCCCCAGGAGGGCAGGGCTATATCTGACCCTGGACAGCCCTTCAGCCTCCTGGCCTGGGCCAAGCTGCTTCCGTTGTGAAAGGCTGCCATCTCAGTGCACAGTCAACCCCATGGTGGAACCAGAGCTCCTGGTTCTAATGCCTCTTCAGCTTCTCTGGTGCGGTGTCCAAGATTCTTTGTTTCCATCTTCCAGAAAACCTTTCTGGCCAGGGTTCCCCTTGTACAACCCCTGTAGAAGCCACTTCTGTCAGCAAGTGGTATGGCAAGAGGGAACAGCCCCGCACCTTCCTTCTTAGGTGTCCATCCCCTCTGCTGATTGAGCACCAGGGCCCAGGTGCTTTGGAATGCGATGGATCCAGAGAGCATGAGGATGCCATGGAAGGAGGCAGGCACCCAGGTAACGCAGGGAAACACAGGTAACCCAGGGGAACACCGCCACTGCTCCTCCCCTTGTCCTCCCCTGGGCATTGGGCCAAGGTGATCAGTCTCCCAACACAGGAGTGGGCAGCTATGGGAGGCCATAGGTGCCTATGGCCTGGAGAGACTGGTTGGTTGTCAGCTGGCTGTGGATAGAAGTGGTTGGCTCTGATTGGTGATGTCATGACTGATGGCTTGCCTGTGGTTAGCTGTGGGCAGCTGTGACTGGTTGCAGTTGGCAGTTGGTGACTATGGTTGGGGTTGTTTGACTGGGTGGCTCTGGTAGCTATGGCTGATTGTGGTAGGCTGTGGTGGCTTGGCAGGGGTTGGCTGTGAATTACTGTGTGTAGCGTTGGTTGGTTGTGGTGTGGTTGTGGATAGCTATGGTTGGCCATAAGTGGCTATTTGGTTGTCTGTGGCAGCAGTGGTTGATGTGGTATGGCTGTGGTTGGCTGTGTTTGGTGTGGTTGACTTGCTCTAGTTGTCTATGAATGGCTGTGGTTGTGTTGGTTGATCTGTATTCTTGTGACATATACATTAGTAACAACTGTAAGTTCTAGAATCATAGTCTGGTTCATCTGTTGGACTGATAGTTTTCTTTACTCTTTTGGTAATACTGGAAATTGATGATTAAGCTCTCCTCTCTTTATGTGACAGAAACAAAGTGGCACGGCCCACCTTCCAAAGTCTTGAGTTCCTATAAAGAAAGAGCTCTGCAGAAAGATGGAAGCTGCAAAGACTCTCCCAATAAGCTTTGTCATGTAAGTCCTTTTTCAGCCTGGATCCTCAGCCAGGACCTGGTGACACATCTGGGCCGCCTGCTTGCTGGCCAGGAACTGCTCAGGAACCTGTGGCTTACCACACAGAACTTTTTGAGGAGAGGTTAAAAGGGGGGAAGTGATGGGCTGGGAATGTAGCTTAGCAATGGAGTACTTGCCTTGTATGCACAAAGCCCTGGGTTCGATTCCTCAGCACCACATAAACAGAAAAAGCCAGAAGTGGCACTATGGCTCAAGTGGTAGTGTTAACCTTGAGCAAAAGAAGCTCAAGGACTATCCCCAGGCCCTGAGTTCAAGCCCCAGGACTGGCAGGGAAAAAAAAGGAGGGGGGAATAAGGGGATTTTTATTGTTGTTGTTACCCCTAATTTATGAGATGATTGCTAAAGCCCAGATCAGAGTGTGACTTCTAAGCCTATACATCCAGAGTGGGAGTTAGGAAATCCTGTCCCAACATCTCATCTTTTACCACTCACCCGCAGTGTGATGAGAATCGGAGCGTGCAGCAGTCCATGTGGCCCAGAACTGTGTGGTCACAGCCATGGCCACAGACCACTGAAGCACACAGTGTGTGGACCATGCCACAGGCCACTTCCCCATTTGAGGGCTGTGTGTAGAGTGTGGTGAAGCCCCCAGGGAGATTGGGCTTTGGGGAACACAATTTCCCCTTCAGTGTAGAGGCATCTGTGTTGGCTCATGCCTAATAAAACTAACATGTTAAATAGGTTGGAAAATGTGCAGGTGGAGGTAATTCACGTGCTCAGATCAAGTTCTTACCTCTTCCTCAGAGTGAACTTGGAGATCGTGCAGTTTTCAGAAAACAGACGCAGTGCTTCTTCCTGTCACTGTGCTCGTGGCCTGATTAACTGTGGCCACTCACATCCACCCCTGTGGCTCTCACATAGTGCTCCCAACAAAGGGCGCAGAGCCCTGGGCACAGGCCAGTCATCAGCCGGAAACTGCTGAGGGTGTGCTGGGATGGAGTTCAGGGAGGAGGGAGCAGGCTGCTCTGAAACCACCCTGGGTGGGACTCCTTCTCCTGACTCCAAAGCCTGTGGTACCCAGGTCCTGCTAGTCTGCCTGGCTGTGGCCAGGACCACATCTGATTCAAGCACGCTGGACAGGACCTTTATTCTGTCCTCCAGAGACCCCCAAGGTACCAAGTGTCTTTAGTGTACTCTAAAGAGAGTCCTGTCTCTGTAGCCCTTGCAGTGTTGTGTGGGGCAGGTTCCCGGAGTGGGCAGACACACTTGTGCCTGCAGGGTGTTTCCCCCCATGCAATGCTTGTTGCACTCTGGTCTGCACAGAAGCCTCATGGCACTGGAAGCACTAGAAGGGTCAAATGACCTGCCTTGATGTCCTGCTGTGAAGACTCAAACCTGACTCTTGTGCCTCAGGTCGGGAGGAGGAAAAAGAGGACCTCCATCTTTTGTCATAGGATCATTTTCTGGATAAGTGGCCTTCCTCTTCCACAGATATACTTTCCTATGTATCTTCCCAGTCTGTTGAACCCTTGTTGATGCTTTATCCACCAACAAGTAAACAGAGGCTTAAAGACAAGGTACCCATTTCACTGAGTTATGAGGCAGGGTGAAAAAAAGGAAAATCTGTCTCTGTCCACACTGAGGCGGGCGTGGAGAGCTCCTGTGAGGCCCAGGCCACAGCTCTGTATCAGGCAAGAGGCAGTGAGTTTGGGCTTCTGCTTTTCTCTCCTCTCCAGATGGGAGATAAAGGCTGCTCCAGCCCCTCCAGCAGTAACACACTGTCCAGTAACACATCCAGCAATAGCGAGGACAAGCACTTCGGGTCAGGGGATCTGATGGACCCCGAGTTGCTGGGTCTGACTTATATCAAAGGGGCTTCCACTGACAGCGGCATTGACACGACCCCCTGCCTGTCAACCACCATCCTCGGTCCTGTGCACCTGGCAAGCAGCCGGTCCCTGATCCACAGCCGGGCTGAACAGTGGGTCGATGCAGTGGACATCTCTGGGCCTGACGATGAGCCAGCCAAGATGTATGCCGTACACGGTTACCCTGCTGCCATCTCTGCCAGCGGTGCTGCCGATGGGAGCATGGGTGACCTCAGCGAGATATCCTCTCACTCCAGGTGAGCCGCCTCACACCCACAACACTGGCTCTGGGGACCTTCCTTCTAGGCCCAACTTCAAAAGTTCTTATTTCTGAAATCTGGTGGTTAAGGTGTGTGTGTGAAATCTTATGTTGGTAATTTTGTATTCCCCCTTTGTCTGAATTTGAAAATTTAAGGACAGCTGTGTGGAATCAGATACCCCCCCACAGAGAGACAATCCTTTAGGACCAGTGCCCTGTGGGAGTCTGTCCTGCATGGTGGCAGACCTCTGTGCTCCTTGCTTCTTATTTACAGAGTCCTCTCTGTCCTCCCTTGCCAGTGCTCAGGGACACTGAATGTCATCATTGTCATTGTGTTTCTAGTCGGAAGGGACATCACTCATAGCTGAAGTGGACCTTAACTCATGTAGCCAAACAATCCAGAATGATCACCATTCTGCTTGACCCGGCAGCCCAGAACTGAGCCCCTTATCCTTCGGCTCAACATGGCAGTCCCCAGTTTGTCACTATTCCCTTTGTGGCTGAAATCACCATGCCACATGCCAGGCTCAGGCCCATCTGAAAGACTGATCACTTCACAGAAGAGATGGGTCCCTTCTCCTCAGTACCCCCTCCTCAGATTTCTCATGCATTACTGCTGTGGTTAAGGGTAGAATCATTAAGGGCAGCCAAGGTCTCTGCTAGCTCAACCAGGAACTGAACAATGCCCAGGAGAGAGGACCCCGGCAGCACATCTGTAAGTGTCCACAGGAGTCTCATTTGCTGACTGCCTGGACAGGACAGTAGGATGTGGAGACTGTAAAGTAAATATTCCTGGTTTGTTTGTTTTTTTAAAAAACAGTTTTGTTCAATTTAAAGAAATACAGTACTGAAGCAGTGTTCAAGAATACTGACTTCAGTGAATTTATGCAGTGAAATTATTCCTGTCTAGTTTGAGGAACAGTTAAGAACTGGCCATTCTGTAAAAGCCATCTTGGATTCTGCATAGTTCTAGCCCTATATTCAAAGTTCAGAACACTTGGAGACTACGGCTTCACACTGCCTTCTTTGTCATAATTGGTGTCCTAGATAGTGTTACTGCTGTCGAGTTTCCTGGGAAACTGCCTTCGGGGCACATTCACTAATTTGATGGGTTGAACATGAAAGTGCTGGGCCTAGTTTTCGATTGACCCTGTGTTTTCCACCATGTTAAACTGAGGGAGGATGCACACTGCTGACGTGGACATGGTCTGCACTGTGGGAGCAGATCCCAGACCACTTGGCTATTTTAGATGTACTCATTAGCCAACAATCTTTGAAGCAAGCACATTTCCATGTGGAATGTGGCTTCTGCCCAGTGCAGAACTTAGTGGTGAAGTGGAGTATTCATGGTCCTCCTCTTGTTCAGCCTGCACCGGAGATGGGGCAGGCATGAGACCCACCCTACTGCCTGGTTTTCTGTGTATACTGCTTCACTTGAGCCCTGCTGCTCAAGGCTGGGAAAACATGTATTTCCTGTATTTCTGTCCATCTCAGACCGGCGTGTGGTCCCTGGGGAACTGTGGCCCACTGCTGTCCCTAGTAGTAGCCCAAGTAGTGAGGAACAAAGTGTCCTCATTCAGGGCCGGGGTCAGCAGCCACCCTAACAAGCTTACCTCTGCCCAGACACACCTCCCCTCACATGCTCTCCTGTCCTCCCCGTAACTACTCCCTGCTGAACTGGCACATGGAGGCACTGCCTTCTCCCATGTTATGGTGATGACATGGAAAGTATCATGGGGACATGGCCTGTTGTGCCACTGTGTCACCGTGGGATCAAGTCGTGCATGTGGGGAGGCACCCAGACACCTACTAAGTGAAGATGGGAAGAAGAGCACTCGCTGCTCCAGTCAGTGGAGTGTAGCAAGGGATGTCTGAGTGTGGGTCAAGCCTCCAGGCGGTGCTGTCACTTCAGGTCCTCTCAGCTCTCATTCTGATTCTCACTAGCTGACTGATTCCCACTGCTGACATTACACATAGGGTCCCTGCCCCCCAATGGCCAGGAGGACGGAAGTGGACAGGAGATTTGTATACATACAGTATTGAATCTAGGTCTGATTCCAGACTTGTGGTGTAGGGGAGATAAGCTGTGCTCACATGAGGAATGGCAGGAGAAGCACCTTGCTCTGGCAGCCCACTCATCCACCTTAGCATGCACAGGACACAGTGCTCAGCTGAGAGGCCAAGATACAGCCTAGATAGCCCACTCATCCACCTTAGCACGCACAGGGCAAGGTGCTCAGCTGAGAGGCCAAGATACAGCCTAGGCAGAATTTTACAAACTGAAATAAACCTACTTCAGAAAAGAACACACACACACACACACACACACACACACGGAACAGCCCACGTGATAATCTGTTTGAGTGAACCCTCCTTATAGAGGATCAGAACTTAACAGGGGGACTCTAAGCTAGGAACTTGAGTCCACAGGAAGCTCTGTGCCAGCAGGGCATAGTCCCTGAGCTTCTTTTGCTGAAGGCTAGCAGTCTGCCACTTGAGCCACAGCACCACTTCCAGCTTTTTCTGTTTATGTGGTACTAAGGAATTGAACCCAGGGCTTCATGCATGCGAGGCAAGCACTCTACCCCTAAGCCACCTTCCCAGCCCTTTAAATGTTTTTACAGCAACCATTTTACTGAGTAGGTGGACTCAGTTACATCTGTTCTAGAGGTAACTTCAGATATCTTAGTATTGAGATAAAAGACAAGTCTAAATTAGAAAAATGCCGTTTATAAAACAAATGGAAAATGTGAAGGGGTTACTAAGCATGTACATGAGCGGTGGGGTCATGGGTCGTATGCTCTGCAGGTGTGCCCTGTAGGTTTGCCTTGTTGTGGGTGATATGGTAATTATGAAGTGCTCTGTAGGTGTGCTCTCGGGGTGTGGTATGCAGGTGCGCACCATTGTGAGTTTGCTGCTGTTGTGGATCACATGCTCTACAGGTGTGTCCTGCAGGTGTGTTCTCCAGATGTGCCTTGCAGGTGTGCACCATCATGGATGATGTGGCTGTTATGGATCATGCACGCTGCAGGTGTGCCCTGCAGGTGTGTTCCACAGGTGTCCTCATTGTGGATGAGGCAGCTTTTGTGCACACCTTCCACTGGGACCTCCACTGTAGTCCTGGCCAATCCAGATCAATGACTGTTGTCAGGTGCTCTTTGCTGCTTGCTTGGAGAGTGTAAACGGGCCTTACCCTGATGGATACTGAGCCTGAGCACCAGCTTTATGTTCTGGAACCTCCTTAAACAAGTGCACCTGGTTCCCATCTTGCCGTAAGATTTCTCCAGTCACATGTGTATCCTCCTTTCTGCCACAGATGTACAGTGTGTATGTGGGCATTACATGCCCTTCCCAAAAGGAAGGAAGGTTGCCCTGCCTCAGAGCCCCATCCTGCCTCCAGGGAGGACTGAGACCAGCGCTGGTCACTGCACACCAGGCTGCCGAGTCTGACAGTAGTTCTTCCTCTCTTGTCTGTTTCTCCTCAGTGGTTCTCACCATTCAGGAAGCCCGTCAGCTCACTGTTCCAAAAGCAGTGGGTCTCTGGATTCCTCCAAAGTCTACATTGTGTCGCACAGCAGTGGTCAGCAGGCTCCTGGCTCCATGTCCAAAGCCTACCACAGGCAAGGTGCAGCAAACACGTATGTCATTGGCTGGAAGAAATCAGAAGGCAGCCCACCACCCGAGGAGCCTGAAGTGACCGAATGTCCCCGGTAAGGAGGCTGCCAATCTCTGGACAGCATTGTACGTTTTTGGGAAGCAAATATATTTCCCTACAGAGGAAACACAGTTTCCAGAAAGACAGTCTAGAATTATCCTTCATTTTTCTTTCTTTGTTGTTGTCGTTTTTCTGCCATTCCTGAGACTTGAACTCAGGAACTGTGTGCTGTCCCTGAGCTTTTTGCTCCAGGCTAGCACTCTACCACTTGAGCCACAGCTTCACTTCTGGCTTTTTGGTGGTTAACTGGAGATAAAGAGTCTCACAGACTTTCCTGCCTGGATTGGTTTCAAACCTTGATCCTCTGATCTCACCTCCTGAGTAGGTAGGATTATAGATGTGAGCCACCAGTACCTGCCCCCTTTTATGTAAAAGAAAAAATGGTCTTTGTTTTATATCATTGCAGTGGCAAGGTCATTGTAAGATACTGACAGTGTTGAAGGTAGCCTGAGAATTGAGAATAGGTCAAGAACAGGTCAGAGCACCTGTGCTCCAGTCAGCACACAAAAGCAAAAGCATTTGTTCTGCCTGGTTTAGTGGTGGGGATGTTAGGTTCTTGGGACAAGGAGGAAGGTTTGTATCTGTTTGAATAGGGAAAACCCTGATTGCCCATGTTGCAGAGAACACCTGTAAACATGGTGGCACTGCTGTCTCTGAGGAAGCAGGGAGAACAGTCAGAGCAAGGTTGTTTCTAGTTCTCAGCTCATGGCTTGCCTGTTTTCCTTAGAAGTGTGGGACACCATGGGCACCACGCTGCCAGGTCATATGCTGTGCTGCCCTGTGCTGTGTAGGCATGGAACCCCTTGGCAGGCATCCGGCCATGCGCCTAACTTCCAGGGTGTGTGATAACTCTTCAGAGAGTCCCTCTAGTTTAAGCTTGGTCTGTGGACTAACACCCCAGCTTTGTTTCTAACTGATGACTGTCAAAATACAGCTGTCATGACATTGCTTTCTAAAATTAAAAATCTCTTTATTGCTTAATTGAATATGGAATCTTTTGTTTAAGAAACTGTATCAGTTATTGCAAATGAGCTATTAAGGAAAGAATTTTATTCCAAATGCAAATGTTAGAATAATGTGCATGAAGGTTTTTCCATCTAATAAGTTCTTTAAGTGGTTCACAGGAATTCATTCCAAGCCTTATTTTAAGTTCTCAAAAACACTGCTGGAAGCCTTTGGGACATCCCAGGTCTGTGTGTGGCCACACTCTGGTCCACAGCCCTGCCTTCTAGGGACAGGCAGCAAGAAGGACTATGAGGAAGGGTTGGCGTCCCTGGGGAAGTCTGTGTGCACAGCTCTGATGGCCCTATGTGTCCCCTCCACAGCCTCTCATCTTAGAGTCTGGCTGCATCCCAGTGCACATCCTCAGGCACTGCTTGGGTGGAGTGGTAGAGGTCCTTCCTGTCCTCTTTCACTGGGGAGAAATGAGCCTAGATCCTCATCCAGGGTTAGTATAGGACTCTGTGTACTCACTCGCCTATCAAGTATCCCAGGAGTCCCCACAGCGCATTGTGTCCCCAGCCAGACCTCCGGACCTGTGTTCTCTGTTTGCTGGCATTTTGTGAAGCCTTGCCTGCCAGCTCATGGAGGCATAGGGAGCCATCTGCCACCCCATAGCAGCACCACTGAGACCTCGAGGATTCACCAGCCCCCCAGTCCTGACCCTCAGTGCACAAAACCTAGTGTCAGTTTGAGCCCTCTGGGAGAAAGCCACATGACTCAGAAATCACCAGTCACATCTTTAATAATCACACTGTGGAGCCCTCATCAGTTATTTCTCATAGTAATGCCTTATGAAATAATGTAAGCAAGCGAGCAGTTCTGTTTCTAGCCTAGTTTCCTCCTAGTTTCTAGCCTAGCTCCTCCAAGTTCCCAAGCCCGTTAGCGTCTCCCAAGGGGGCTCTCCATGGCTTCAGCCAAGCACTTCCTGCTACTTGCTTGGTCCCCGTCTGCAATATACACACGTATACGTGTGCATGCGCGCACGGACACACCCCAGTCAGGGTCCTTCAAGGGCACCATGTTCTGTACCCACAGTGTCTGGCACCAGAGTAAAGTCTCAGCATATTTATGACACAGCATTGGACATATTTTTTATGTTTTGTTTTTAACGAGCTGAGCAGAGGATGTTAGCAACCTTTATTCAGATCTGTATGGAAACTGGGATGATGCCCTGCAGTTGTAGCTATAGAACTATAGCCACAGTCATTTTAGCTATAGCGGCTACTAATAGGACCAGGGGTCGTCCCACGTATCTTCTCTAAAGCAGAAAGGCCAGGAGCTCCTGAGCACCTCCCAGTACACATTAGGCACTTGCTGGATGCACACTTCATAAAAGCAGCACTATGCTGCTGTGCCCTGGCTTCCCCAGGAGGGTCCCACCCCCATGCCACACTGGCTCACAAAGCAGCCCCCCTCGGCAATGTCCTGAAAGTGTGGAGAGCTCTCTTCCCAGCTCTTTGTCAGCATTACCTCTGCTCTGAGATCTGACCCATTGCAGGGACAAAGCAAAAGCCAAGCTGTTCAAATATACCCTTCCTAATGCAAGCAGGTCGCATTTCCGAGTGGGCTGAAATAGGCATCTCTGTGGCAGGTGACAGTGGCATGGAGGCTGCCTGTGGAGCTCACCATTGTAGGCAGAAAGTTCCCGTTGCCTTGCCTTTCAGGGCACATGACAGACTATCTACCTCCTCCACCAATCCAACAGCCCGTGGTTAGCCTGGGTTCTCGGGAATGTTGGTAACTGAGATTACCTCTCCACAGTGCATCTTCTCAAAGTGACTTCCTGTTTGCTCCCTGGGAAGAACTGAAAACAATAATTCAGCTTGGCAGTCTTTCGTGGCCCACAAATACATTTTTATATCCTGATAATTAAGGGAGACAGCTGCTTTATTTATCCAAACAGCTTTGTGAAAGGCCTGGCAATGGAACATGCTTTGGTGCATGCCTGGACCGATTACTCTGAAGCCCCAGCCTCCCTTGGTGACCTTCCCTCTGCTCTGCGAGTCCCCGGGGTTCTAGCTCTCTACCTCAGGAGGGGGCCCTCCAGCCTGTGAGGGCTAAGCACCGCTTGAACAGGCAACCACGCCTGATAAATTATTGAAACTGTTTGCTGACACAGTTTAGGAAAGGAATAACAGAGCTATATTTTAAAGTTGCTGTATTTTTTCTCATCCAGGCTTTGGGGATCTAGTTTGTTTCTGAATTATTCAGAAGTCTCACTGCAGTCACACTCCTTTCACAGATGTGAGATGGGGTAAGGCCTGGCGCACATGCAGCTGCAGTGAGCAGCTTTCCCACTAGGACCCTCAGGCCCACACAGGGCCTAGTTACTGGATTCTCGCCATACTGCCCCATCACTCAAACATGCCCCCCCCCCTGAGTCCCTGCCCCCATCTGTTCCAGAAGGATGTACAGTGAGATGCACGACCTGATCCCAGCTCCACACCAGGCTGTGGTGGGAGACCCAGCCTCGGAAACTCAGCATGTCCTCTCCAAAGAAGACTTCTTGAAGCTGATGCTTCCAGAGAGCCCCTCGGTGGGAGAGGGGAGAAGGAAGGTGAGTACCCTCCATGGGGTGAGGGAACAAGTCAACAGCAAGTGCCCTCCACTTCTCTTAAGACCCTCCCGCTCCATGTGCAGGGCCACTGCCAACATCGGCCCTCAGCAGGCGGCAGCCCACAAGGCTCTGTGGTTCGCACAGAAAGCCAGGCCAGCCACCTCCAGAACCTGCTCCCAGTTAACTTTTACGTAGTGCGTCCCCTGGGAATAATGACCCGGATGACAGGAAGTGGCACACACAGCATGTGAACCCAGCACAGCCTGGAGCATGGCTGGTAAGGTAACAGTGGCTCCAGCTCGTACACACATGGCCTTCCAGGGGGCCTGACCCAGCCTCACGGGCCTCGTCAGGGCCACGATTAAGGCAGCCTTCTTCATCCACAGCAGAGGAGCCCCTGGGAAATGTTAGTTTTAGCCTCATTTTTATTGTAGTCTTCAAAGCCACTTTATAAAATAATACAGTATATTGGAGATGTGGCCAGACACTGAAATCCCAGCTGATTGGAAGGTGTTAATCAGGTGGATCATGGTTCGAGAGCAACCTGAGAAAAAAGTGAGATCCCCCAGCCCCTCAGTAAACAAGCCAAGTGTGGTGCAATTCATCTGTAATCTCAGCTGCTCGGGAGGTATACATAGAAGGATCACGGTCCCAGACAAAAATGTGAGACCCTACATGAAGAAGAGCCAAAGCAGAAGGGCTGGGATATAGGCCGGAGGCCCTGACTTCACACCCTCTGACTGCTAATGAGCCTTTTTTAAAGCATGTCAAATCATAGGGATGGGAGCATGGGCACCAGGGCCACTGACTGTGCAGAACTGTGACTGCCTGTAGTGGAGTGGACATCTCCTAAAACAAGTCACCCTCCCCTGATCCTAGGTCCAAACGTAGCTTTGTAGAGTACACACTGTGGTGTCCTTCACCAGTGAAAAAGGGGAAACGGGGGAGGGGAGGAGTCCTTAGGCCATCTATGGACATGGAAACAGCCATTTTCTGTACTTGCTCACCACTATGCACGTACACCAGAGGCTTGGAAATGCAGATTGGATCTCTCCTTTCCCAAGCATTTGACTATTTGCCCTAGTCAGACTCTTCCTTGCCCTCTCCAGTTTTTAACACACACAGTCATGCTGATGGTTTCCTTCAGTCTGATTTTGCTCTTTTTCTGTAACTCTGTTTCTGATAACTGGAAGCAGACTGTTGGAAATAATCCTCTGAAGAGGACAGCAGCCTTGTACTGGACTGAAATGATTTTTCCTGAGTCTTTTGTGTAGCTTAGAAATGTCAGCATTCAGAATTAGTTGTCTTACTTAGATTAGATTGAGCTTTGGATGTCATTAATTGATACAAAAATGGCCTGGTATTAAAAATGTAGTCATTTCCAATTAAAATCAAGCCAGCACAGTTCAGCTTGAAGGAACTGCTGAAATGGCAGCAAGAGCTCTTACAACTATAAAGTTATAGGACTTCCATTTAATATCTCAGAATTAATAAAGCTTTGCATGTCTAATTTGTGGTAATATACCGCAGAATGTCAGAGGTGGAAACATTAAAATCCAATAACAGCACCAGAGCCCTGATACATGGGCCTGACGGCTGTACCTGAGCCTGACTCTGTGGTCAGAGCTGTCTCTGGCTAGTCAGGCCTACTCCATGCAGCCGTGCTTTGTCTGAGCCCCTCCATGTGTCCTGTATCCCCCTAGTTCTTGTTCTACGGGAACCTGTCTCCCCGGAGGTCACTGTACCGCACACTATCTGACGAGAGCGTCTGCAGCAATCGGAGGGGGTCATCCTTTGGGGGCTCTCGGAGCTCCATCCTTGACCAGGCCCTGCCCAATGACATCCTGTTCAGCACTACCCCACCCTACCACAGCACGCTGCCTCCAAGAACCCAGCCTGCACCCAGCATGGGGAGCCTGCGCAGTAAGTGCACCCCTCACTATTGAGGATCTAGCTGTTTTACTCTAAAGGAAGCAAAGTCTCAATCTGGTCTTCTGAAAGAGAGTCAGGACTGGGTGGGCCTGGGCCAGGAAGGGCCAGGCATGGACACCTCCCTTGGAGGCCCTGGGACCCAGGTTCACAGCCTAAGCAGGGCCACATGTCCCAGCTTCCTCTGGGCACTGAAGACAGGTCAGTTTGATGATCTTCCTTCTGGGGATACCTTAAAAATTAGGACTTTCAATTTGTACCAATCCTTCATAAATTATTTTAATCACAGAAATCATGTTGGTTTTAAAAGGCAATTTTTATGTTTATTTCCATTTTCCCTAGCTTCTGTGGCATGGAAAGGATGGAAGCTTAATCAGGAATATATTATGAGTTGAGGTGTTTTTTTTTTTAATTCCATCATAGAAAGCATTAACTTTAAGCCAATTTTAACTTCCTTAACACATGTAGATGTTCCTAACTAAGTGAAATAAAATTTATAATGGTAGTGAGCACAATTGAATGATCCTAATCTCACACAGTGCTTATGAATGTTTCTTTAAGTCATACAATACCTTGCCTGGTACAAAGGGTCCACTTGCCTTAACTGCAAAAACCTTGAAACCTTGAAAGGTGAAAGGTCCAAGCAACCTTCTGACCCTCCAGTGGTTCTCCAAAAAACTTCCCTTTAAATAGGAACCTTCCATAGGCCCCAGTCTGAAAACTTCTGTGACATGGAAAGTTCTGTTTTATGCCGTGTTACTTTTCTCGTCGATTGTGCGTGAGGTGCATTGGTGTTCCCAGGTGTGGGCTTTGCACAGGCTCCCTCTGCAACATGATAGATGCCATAGTTTTTCCACTCTCACTTTTTAGAAAATTAACATTACTTTTTAGAGCCGTTTGAGGTTCACATCAAAATCTAGCAGAAAGCCTTGACTTCTGATACACCCCGGCACCCTTCCCCACCTCCCCACCCCCGCACACTCCCCAGACAGCTCAACTCCAGGAGACCTGTGTTCACGCCTTGTGCTCCCTCCTGTCCTCAGCAAGCCAGAGTTCTGAGAGGCTGATGTACTGCCTGGTAGATTGCGGGGGGGTGGGGGGCGGGCAAAAGTCTTCCTAGTAGCTGTTCTCAGTTTCCAGCTTTGTGTTAAAAATTTGGAGTTTAGGGTGATCTTCACAAATCTTCTACTGACAATGGTTTCAGATAGACAGAAATGCAAAAGGCACTGAACTCTTCTGTTAGACACAATGCAGGAGCACCCCACACCAGCTCCCGTGGGAGAACCTTCCACACCGATTTCACGGATTTCAGCAAAAAAGAGGCCCTATCTGCAGGGGAGCACTGGAGAACCCTGTCTCTGCGCCTGTCCACTGTAACTATGACAGTCACATCCTCTCTTTCAGATATTTTTAGTTTTTAAAAGTCCCAAGTTCCCACCTGTCTCAGAATGTTCTTTTAAGACCAAGATCTTAATCCAAGCTGGTGAGACCGACCCTTGCCAGACCCCAGACTCTTGGCAGCTGTGACTTAGCCATGACTCAAACTTCCTGTGCCATCTGGAGCATGCCAGGTCTTCATCTCCTCCACAAGTGTCACCTAGTCAGGCCACTGGTGCTTGCTCTGAACTGTCCTGCATTGTTTCAAGACCATTGTTTTCGTCACCGGTGGTCTGCGGAAGAAACCTCCTCAGTGGAAAACAAAAAGAGGGACCGGCCTTGGACCCAGCTCATGTCCCTGCATTAGCAGCCTCCTCTGCTCCTGGCAGTGGGACCCTGCATTCAGTCAGTGCAGTCTCAAGCACTGCCAGGTACATAGCAAGTCTAAGGAGAATTCCTAACTGTTCATAGAAGAGATCAGAACTCTCCAAGAAAGGGAGAAATCTCTTTGTGAGGATTGGCTCAGTGAGCTGTCTCTCCTCAAGTCCAGTATAACTGTTCCTAATACAACATGGCTTCAAAGTGAAAGAAAAGTTTAGAATAAATGAGAGCTAATATTTTAGATGCCCTGGTACCCCCAGGTGGCTACTGTCCCTGGATTGCACTGATGGCCCTAAGTCACTGGGTGAAAGGCCTCTCTGCTCAAAGAGGAGTCCTCGCCTGGCCGGCACTGCTCCCGGTGTGGTAGCCTACTCCACCTGCCCCGCTGAACTCCGAGGGTGCTGGAGAGGCCTCAGGCATCTGATCCCTGGGACACTCCCGTCTCCTCCGTGCTGACGGTGACAGCATCATGTGGTTTCTGTGGCTTCAAGTCTCGGAAACAGAAAGTCATACAATCTATGTCTGTGGCTAGAAAACAGCCTGCGTAGGCTGCAGGGTCTGGCCACCATCCAGCCCTCAAACCACAGCAGGCCCACATCAGGTCCATGTGCCATGGGGGTGGGTGGTGAGAAGCATGAACAGAATCACCCAGATAAAGTAGACAAGTGTCTGCCTGTACCCAGAAGCACTTTCAGGCATCCTCCCACCCGTCCATCTCCCAGAGATCCCAGCGTGTTGCAGGCATAAACTGACACCAGTCCCAGGCTCTGTCTGTCCTGCCGGGCCACCTGTCTTTATGGGCCTGCAACTAGTACAGGCTGCCCGGGAGGCCATCAGCCTCCCATGCTGTTTTCTGCACTAACACAACCACTGTCGTTCCTTGCTCATGGCCTCTGTCCCTCTTGTCCAGTCACATTTGTTCTTTACCTGGGTGCTGTCAGAGCCAGCGAGGATGCGGCTGTTGGTCACATTGGAGAGAACAGTCAGCACACCAGATAGAGAGCAGTTTGAGTTTAGTGTCAGAAGCTGGCATGGAAGAATGTTTCTTTATAAAGGCAAAGGAAATCCACAAGTTGGTATTTCTTAGTAAAACACAGTCCAGGAATGCACTTTCTGTGTGTCCCTGCCTTCTAGCTGTGAAGGTGTGTGACAGAGAAGGGGTTGCCCAGTGCACAGGACCCTCAGCTTGCTTCCCTCTCTGCTTGATGGGGGACCTTGAACTGTGGCTGCCGATGACCTGAGAGCTAGCTCAGCCAGCATGCACCCCCCCATGGAGATGGCCTCCCTCATTTCCAGAGAAGACCTAAGAGGAAGCACCTAGAGCTGAAGGTCCTCCCAGTTTCAGCTCCAGCTTACCCCACAGCAGGGACCCAGCACACAGAGGACACATGAGCCACTATTACTACCCCAGTGAAGACACGGCAGGGACCCATCACACACAGGACGCACGTGCCACTGTTATTTCACAGATGGACAGGGAGACAGTGACAGAATGGATTCCTCTCCTCCCCTAGAGGAGACTGGACACACTCTAGAAGACATTGCCATGTCTCTGTGTCCGCATCTATGTGGCTGCCATGGGAAGAGGTCTGCTGAGTTGTCTGTGGATGTGAACAGGCCAGGTACTCCTCAAGGCCACATTTACAATCAATGTTTCTCCCAGGTCCTTTTTCCAATTCTGATGTGCTTCTTAACAGGAAATACTTGTAAAAAAGCAAAACAAAAACCTTGCTAGCTGTGATAGTGGATGGTGTGAGAGGCGGTGACTGGCTAACACTCTGCTTGTGTTTCTGTTTAGATGAGTTCTGGTTCTCTGATGGGTCATTATCAGATAAGTCCAAGGGCACAGATCCGGGCCTGATGCCCCTTCCCGACACAGCCACAGGATTAGATTGGTCCCACCTCGTGGATGCTGCACGGGCATTTGAAGGTAAAGACTTAGCATCCCTGGGCCCCTCTGTGTAACTCAGGGCACACATTCCTGCAGGGTCTGAGTGGCAGCTTGGAGCATGTCTGTGTGCCAATTTTGTGGCTAAAGTCAAGGTGAAAGGCAGAGGGAAGGCTTAGGCCTGCTGTGGTTATTGGTGGCCACCACCTATAGTGTCAGCCTAGGAAACAAAGTCAGACCTTTTCCCAGGAGGGCTTCAGGCTGCAGAAGGCCGAAGTCTGCCTCTGAACCCCTCCACAGCAACAGCTGGCCTCTGGAGCCCAGCCTGTCCACTCACCAGAGCCTCCGGGCTGTGCTTCCCAAACGGACTGAAGGCACTGTGGCAGGGAGGACTCCCTTGGGGGCCAGGAGCCACTTGTCCCCTTCCCCCCAGGGCACATCTGGACTCCCCGCTCCTGCATATCCACAGTGCTTACTCCCTGCAAAGTCTCAAACTTCATTGTAACACACTGTTAAGACCATGTAAAAGGCCTCATTGAGCTCCGACCCTGTGCCTGTATTATATCATAGTGCTTCTGAAAACAGCTTTATGAGTGCGGTTCAGCCGCCTGCTGGAGGCACCGTGAGATGCACAGGGTAATCTCTCCCTGCAGACTTGCCTCCTTTTACCACAGTCAGGATGCAGGCTTTACCTGGACATGCTCACGGTGCTAGACATCCATATTGGATTGGATTGTTCAAGAATTGACAGAGACACCAAGTTAACCCACCCAAATATAGCTGCTCAACTGTACTTAACACACTCCAAGTGGCCAAAGCCAAGTTGCCAGGTGCAGGCCTGCAGCCTTCTGCTTGCCCTCTAGAGAGCCACGGCCTCCCCACGCCACTGCTGACCATGAGACAGAGAAAGCATAACAAGAAAGACAGAAGCAAAGCATAAGAAGCCCCAGGCTTTGGGGAGATTTTAGATATAACTACAATAATGACTCCACTGGGAAGAATTAAAGCCACAATGGGAGTGTGTGTGTGTGTGTGTGTGTGTGTGTGTGTGTGTGTGTGCGCGCACGCGGGGGGGGGGGGGGGGAAGGCCTGAGCTACAGACAGCAGCTCTCAAAGAAAAATGTGCTTCAGAAACATTTAGGTGGAGAAAACCTGAAAATTAACTGCACTTGAAAAAGATGCCACAAAAGGGTTTAAAACAAAGCTGGCAAATGAAATATCAGTGAGTTTTATGAATATCAGTCATCAGAGTCATCAGTTTTCTTTGAATATTTGATAAGTGTTAAAATGTTCAAATTAGCAAATATGACCCAAGGGAAGTGCAAAGAACAAAGTTGGGAAGGAGATGAAACCGGGCATGGTAGTGGATGCCTTGTAATCCAGCACTGCGAAAGCAGAAGCAGGACGATTTGCTATTTGAAGCCAGCCTGGATTACACAAAAGGACTCTGCCTTTGGAAATAAAAAGTGAGAAGAAATGAAATGAATGTAGCGGCCAGTGAGCTATAGATGGTATAGGATCTGTGTTCCTCTCACCCAGACGCGCTGCGGAGACCAGCTACCACCTCCACCTTGGAGCCCCTCCCCGGCCTGCATTGGTGGGGCCTCAAAGGCCTTTGGAGAAAGCAGATCTGGTCTTAAGCCACTGACCCCAGTCAATCCAAGGCTGCCCTGACTCAAGAACTTGGCTTTCTATAGAATTTGGTACTCAAATGTCCATGCTGTGACCTAACTGGAGGCCTGAAGTACCCTACCAGCAAGCAGCCTAAAGACAGGTTTTCTGCAGCACCCCACCTTGCCTTGGCTCCCATTGTGGGGGGAGGCACAGGAAAGGTCACTGGACAACATGCCCAAACCCCAAATACCACTGGAAACTAGTGTGTTTACAATTCATTGTTCTCAGATGTTCAAAGGATAAAGAAGGCCTTGTGTAAGTTTCTCAAGCAGCTTTTTTTGCACAATGAGATTCTTTCCTGATTAGACAGCCATAAAAAAGGACCGTATGACAAGCTAAATCTTTCATATTGATGTGGAAAGCCTAAATGAAATTCATAGATTGACAGGATAATTCATGGTTACCACCAAGAACTTAACTAGTTGAAAATAGAACTGTAAGAAATGATAGTAGCTGGAGTAACTAAAATTGATCACATCAATTAATTCTATGTGATATAATTAAGACCTATTTTTAAAGAAGTTAGGATTTAAGAGACACTGCCAAAGATTAACAAGGACTACTTGATTCCAAATGATTACCTAATATGATATGAAAAGTGTTTATATGATACGATATAGAAAAACATTTATATGATATGATATGAAAAAATGTATAAGCAGATCTCTTAGTCCAGTAAACACCCTTTGAGGCCCTGCCCTTTACATTTTTACTGGAATCCTTAAGTAGTGAGGCATCATTTCATGCTGCTCTTTTCAGTTTAATAAACCGCCCCACCACCTATGGCCTCAGCTGCAGTGTGATTTCCTAGGATGGTATGAGTCAAACAGGCTCTCCGAGGGACTCTTGCCACAGTCAGTACCGCAGCCAAAGCCCCACATGCCCAGGGCCCTCTACCCTGTCCATGTGGAACCACTGTCCCTAGCAGGGAGCTGTGTGTTTTCATTGTAGTTTGGAGAATCAGGAGAGGACAAAAGCAGGCCCTGGTCCCAAGAGCCGTGATGTTATCTCCACCACTTTCTGTGGGTCATCCAGATGGCAGGGGTGTGAGGTGGACTTCACCTCTCCTCATGTGAGCGAGAATGAGGTGACTGCACATCATTTTCTCTGCAGCCACCTTAAAGGACAGACACATGAGACAACTGCATGTTCCTCAGGAGTAAGCCATCTGTAGAATTACGAGACAAACACTGACACACTTTAGTGTAAGTAAGAGCAGGAACGGATAGAAGGCTTTAGAGAAAACAACCGTTTTTTACTTCATTTGTAAAGTAATACAATTTCAATTCAGCTATCTAAAAATATGCTAAAGCACTTAATTGCATCCATGTGGAAAATAGAAGAACAATACCTAAAAAGCATTATAAATTGATAATAATTAAAATAGCATAATAATGATTCAAAATAGAGTAAGTCCTTTTGAAGAAAAAGAAGACACAGAAATCCAAATATATTTAAGAATTAAATGGGAAAGATACATGCATGTCATTTGGGCCCAGGACCTGGAGAGCTCAGTGATAGGAAAGGAAGGTTGCCTTCCAAGGGATGGCCCTTGTGCTGCTGGTCAGTGGGGACACAACGCATGCTAGGACTGTGTAAGCACCTGAACGAGCCCAGAGAGAAAATTTAGACAAGAAAATGTGGAACTGTAGGTCAGGGTTTGTGATAAATGTCCTTAATAAAAGCAAGGTATCTAAAGCAGGAGCCTAGCATAAAGGACCAACTCCACGATAAACCATGAGGTGCTGTCCACAGAAGAACCCCAATGGATAAGCAAGTGCACCATGCCCACCACACTTAACTTAAGCCATGGTAAGCCGCCAGTGCTGCACCTTATGAATATGACAAATAAGACACCCACTCTGGAAAGCATGGAAGAACACGGCTATTCCTCATCAGAGTATAAACCGATCCATGTTGCTCAAACCTTTTCAAGCTCTATGATTACATATAGCAAGAGCCAGAAAAATATTCCCCTCTTTGACCAAAAATCTGATTTCCAAGTATTGACTAAGAAATCATTAGATAGCAAAAGGTGTTTACTTTTTAAAAAAAATGTTATGTAGCATTATCAAAAAAGAAAAAAAACAAAAAACAGGTTGAATAACCAAATCCCATGGGAACGTGAAAAACAATGGAGAGGTCTCATTGGTCCAGGAAGGGTGGGCAGTCCAGGTGCTATGACAGTCAGGTCCAGATCTGGCCAGGTCATGTGTCAGGATGCTGTATGTCCAGTTCCTTTGCCTGGTGGACACAGCAGTGCCCCTTGCCCGGCAATTCTCCTGCATGAAACTCCAGTATATCTATACACCAGCACAGTTCTTGGCACCTTCACTGTGTGCAGTGACGCATGTGTGGACAGTCCTGGGTGCCAGTCCCCAGCACAGAAGTCTTTGAGGCCTTCTCTGTGTACTGGCTGCATGCATGGACCATTGCTGGTAGTGACTGCACAACCTGTGGAAAGCACACTTGGATTTTGGATGCAGTCCCATCCTCCTGCCAGGCCTCGAGGCAGCAGCAAACAACAGCTCTGCCAGACCCCAGCTTCAGAGGACAAGTAGCTGATACTCTGAGGGGTGCTGGGTTGCTGAGCCCTGATGCTCAGTAGGCTACATGCCAGTGTTTTGGCTTTACAGTATTTTCACCTTTTTCTTTAATTGGGATGTGGGTAGGGCCTGTGGCTCTGCCCCTCTCAACCTGGTGACCAGAACAAAGCCAACTTGAAAACCTGGTGGTGAGTCCAGCTGAGTCAGGGAAGGACAGTGCCAGGTTTAAACCACACCTCATTTAGTGAAATATTTGAAGGAGGTAATTGATGGCTTCTTGAACATTGACTACAAAGGTGATGATATTTGAGAGAAAACAGTTGGAAAGGTCAAATGACATGGCAGCCACAGGAGGCCCAGCTCCAGCCAAGAAGACCTGTCCTCAGGGCCTCTCTGCTTCCCTGAGGCCGTGGTGAGAGGAATATGTGCCTCAGGTAACCTGTTGTTAATCTGGGCCAGGCACCGCACAGACACAGTGGCCACATGAACGTGTTCTCAAAGCATTGTCTGCTGCATACTATATACACCCGTGATTCTCAAACAGCATCATAAACAGAAACCTTTATGATGAGAACCTTGGCAGCCTTCGCTCAAAGTTGATTTAGTGTGTATGTAACATGACACACCAAGAGCCTCCAAATGCTGTCATACTGGTGAAAAAAGAAAATAAGGCCATCCAGAGATGCAGAATACAGAGCCAAGTTAATAGCAAATCAGATTATCTCAAAAGCTAATTACAAGTGTTTCAGGCCAAGACAGCAGTTGTGTCTGAGTAAAGAACAGTTTCAGAACTCTTCGTTACTGGTCACTCAGTAGAGTCTGCGTTATCTTTCAACACCCCCTGTGTTTTGTGCAGAAAGCCCCAGGTGGCCTTTCCTCTTTCCCAGCAGCCGCCTGAGTCCGCTTCTTCCCACACGGGAACTCCAGTGTCAGTCCAGAGCCTCACAATCGGACGCAGAGCAGCAACATCCCAGCCTGTCTGGAGTTGTGGTTTTAACAAAGACAGATGCAAGCAGCTCTGTCTGTGGGAAGTGTATGTATTTATTCTGCACCTCACCCCATGGGTAGACTTGGTGCTCTTGCTTACCTGGCAGCACCCAACTCAGCATTGTCCTGCTCAAATAGCAACATATGGCCAGCTGTTGTCAGCGGTGTCCTGCTCACCTTGTAGCCAGCACTGCAGGCACATGGGGTGATTGATGGTCCCTGCCTTGCCATCTTAGCCCTAAATTGATAAACAAAAGCTTGTGGCTGACCTTCCTCTTGTTAGTGTTCAATGCAGTAAATCATTAACTGGCGTTGAAGTAAGTTTCTGGCCACTTAAAAGGGTGGATTGTTTCTTGTAAGCCATGCCTTGTGTGCCCTGTGGCTATGTCTGCTCAGTGTGGAAGAACCTGGAGGGCTGAGAGCAGTGGGGACGCAGAACCCAGATCTGGGCTGTGCCTGCCTGCCAAGTCCGTACCTGAGCACATCCTTTTCTGTGCTGGTGTTGGGGCCATGCGGTTCCAGGTCAGTAGTCACCTGATGGCCAAGCATTTGTCATCACAGAAAGAAGCTATAGAAGCAGAATCTTTGGCCGGAAACTGTCAGGACGATAGCTGTGTTTGTTGTAAAGCAGGCTGAGCTTGGTGGAGCAGTGTCAGTGCCCCCAGCCTCCTGAGCCCATGGCCCACACCTGCCTCTGCCACTGAAATCTGCTCTGGCTTCTTCCCCTGACCTCAGGCTGCAGCTCTGAGGAGAAGGGCTGCCAGTGGCAGGTGCTGTCCTGTCCCCTTGGGACTTTTTATCAGTTCAGATAGAAACAGATGGAAGCTACATTCCCAGCCAGGCTTGACCATCAGAGCCACTGTAGTGAGAAAGAGAATCATGGCTGTGCTGTTGCATTTGCACACAGTGATGGTAAGTCTTTGGGATCTTACCCATTTTTTTCTGACATCCTTTGTTGTCAGTAGTTCACTGTGAAATACAACACTTTCCCTCCTGTTCTTTTACACAAGATGGAAGAACAGGGCTGTGGAACTCCACAGCTGCCCAGACCTTCCCCTCTCTCCACAGCTTGCCACACACAGTAGACCCTGTGCGGGCATGGGTAGTGTCCCCTGTGTGCAGTGCATCTTAATTGAGTTACAAATTATCTCATCATACACAGAAATCCTAGTTCTTGGTTCTAAGTTGATAATATAATTGTCTGGGGACTGCAAAGTGCTTTATCTTCATATAGGTTGGATTGGGGGGGGGGCCTCCACAGAAAGGCTGGTTAAAGAACATCTGTATGCTTGTAGCAGATATCAGGAAGGGACCACAGTTTGGAGAACACTGCTGTGGTGCACTGCAGATGGCTTAGCAGGCTTTCCTCCATGTAATGTTGGCAGCTTCTGCATTGCTGTCTCCATCCTTTTTATTAACAACCAGGCATGCAGGGCCTTATGAGGAGGCCCCAACAGCAGGCAGGAGACCTAAGATGATTGCACCCGTGGGGACCCCCATGCAGTCTCTCCCCATTAGTCATATGGTGTGAGCCAGGCCTCTGCAGCCCTCGGATTCCTGCTGCAGTGAAGGTGTATGCTCACAGACCAGACCAGGGAAGGTGGGGCTGGGACAGCGGTGGGTCCCACTTCCACAAGCCACAGAGACCAACCTCCTGTGCCCTTGAGTATGTCCACCATGTTCTCGGTCAGAACTCTGGTGGCCATGGTGAACACCACCAAGGCCATGCTCTGCCCTTTCCTGCCCAGCTCTCCCAGCATTGAACGCCAAGTTGCTCACCCCAGGATGGAAATAGACTTGTACTGAGAAGCCTTTGCACCCAGCTGGCCGTGGGTGCTACTGCTAGAGAGGTGGGGCCCTGACCTGCAGGGGTTTCTGCCCCACTGACCACCCGCACCATCACCCTTTTGATTCTGGAAGTGGGTCCTGCCCATGGTTGTACAGTGTGGGTGTGACATTTGCCTTTGTGGTGCACCGCCACACTGCATGCTTCCAGGTGCTACAGTGAGCCTGAAACTCGTTCCCTCCCCCACGCTGGTCACTACCAGCCACACTGGCTCTCACAGCCTCTCCTGATTCCACACACACACACCTGTGCTTCTCATGCTGCTCACACATGCATGCACGTACATGCACGTACATACTACTTCACATAACTTCGTTGCTTGAGCCGTCTAAGGAGCCTGGAGATTTTCAGGTTCAGAGAGAGTCCTGTTCACAGGAGATTCTGACTCTTATTTCAGGTCTTGACTCAGAGGAAGATCTTGGGCTGCTCTGTCACCACGCGTCCTGTCTAGGTGATTGTCTCGCTGTTCCACAGCCTGCTCTGTATCTGCCATGTGTCTGCACGTCTGTCTGCATGGGGTGGGTGCCCAGGGGACGTGGGCTCTGGCTGTCCTGCCTCAGGACTGTTCTTGGGTTCAGGAGAGCCTGGATCAGGCCATCTCCCTGGTTCTTTCAGCTGGCCTGCCGAGTCATCAGCTTGTTTCCTCATGCTCAGTGGGTAGCTTTGGCATTTCTTGGGATGTCGAAGGAAGGAAGCAGATGGCTCTGGCCCATCCAGGATCTGTTAAGCTGTTCCTGTGGCTGCCATGTGTATGTCCTACAGCCTGACAGGACAGTTGTTCACCATGCTTTCTCACCAGCAGCCTGCCTGAGTTTCTTTTTCTTAGTTTTGTTTCAGAACAGGGCTATTGGAGGGGCGACATTTCATTTAGCCACTGTGCGCACCCCTGTGAAGTCAGCACTAGTAGCTGTCACTGACCTTGTTTTCTGTGCTTCCCTGTCCCCAGACCAGAGGGTGGCATCTTTCTGCACCCTGACAGACCTGCAGCACGGGCAGGACCTCGAAGAGGCCCCAGAGCTTACCCTGTGTGTGGACCCCAGCAGCGGCAAAGAGTTCATGGACACAGCTGGGTATGTAGCCCTCCCATCCCCCATCACAGACCAGAGGTTTGAGGGGCACCAAACTGAGTCAGCCCCCTGCCCTGAGGACAAGGATGGCACTGGCTGTGTAGTCCCAGAGCCTGGTCCTCGAGCAAGCCTCACACCCTGGTGACATGTGTGATGTGTCACCTGTGTCCTCATTCCAAACTCTGCTTCCCATGAACTGAGCTACTCTTAGCAGGCTTGTTCTTGCTATTGAACTCCATGATACTTCATGACAGGTCAATTAGGGTGATTTGGTCTACTTTGTCTCGATTTAAATACCATCTTTATCTTGCCAACCTACAAGTGCTACAGTCCAAAGCTCTCGGAAGTCAGCCCACAAAGCCACAACAGACACCTAACACAAGATGGTGTGTGGCTGTGCGGATCACTGCTCCAAGCACACAGGATAATTTGAGTGAACATTTTCCCAGCAAAGTCCCCAAGGTTAACATTGTGATTCTTGAGTCCCTTCAGCCATCCTAATGGCTCTCTGTTTGCTAGGGAGCGCTCTCCTTCCACACTGACTGGGAAAGTCAACCAGCTGGAGTTGATCCTGCGACAGCTGCAGACGGACCTTCGGAAGGTAATGCCACTACCAAGGGCGAACAATCACAACTGCATGCTTGGCCCCTGTAACTACTAGGAGAAAATCAAACTGCATGGAGACAGAACTGCCCAGAACAAAGGCCAGCAGACAGCAGGCCCCACCCCTTCTCCCATGCGATCTTCCCACCAGTAGACCATGTGCTTCCTTGTAGGGGTGCATGGCCCCAGTGATGATGACTTGCGGGGGCCTCCACACACCAGGCCTTAGAGTCAGCCCCCCACACACACATCCTCATAAAAGCCAGGTCCGTCCTTCCAGAAGCACCTCTGCCAGACTCCTGCATAACCACCGTCCACTCTGCTGGCTGCCCTTTGCAACCCAAGGAAGCAGAATACAGTGCCACGGATGAGATTCCAGAAGCTTCTATCCTAGCTCTGAAAGGAGAGGGACCCAGAGGGCTGTCCTTGGGAGCACGTGGTAGGGGATGGTGGCTGTCCTTAGGAGATATGGGGAGGGATAGGGACTGTCCTTGGGGGGATGTGGAGGGGATGGGGCTGTCCTTGGGAGCCCTTGGTGGGGGATGGGCACTGTCCTTGGGGGGATATGGGGGGATGAGGACTGTCCTTGAGGGAACATGGTAGGCGCCCAGGCATCTACCAGACCTCCAGTGGATTCTCAGCACTCACCTCATGGAAGTGTTGTTGTGGGAGTAGGAAGGCATGGGAGCCAGGCTCTGAAGTCTCAGTGTGTGTTGGGAGTGATCTGACTGGTCACCTGAGTGCGGACCATACTATCTGCTGCCCTGACCTCCTGAGAGTGGCTGGACCAGCTCCAGGGGAGAGCCAGCATGAGAGGAATTGGAGGAGAGTGCAGAGCAGAGTGCAGAGCCCAGGACTTACTGATAGACGCAAGTCCTGAGGTTCACTGCGACGGAGTGCAGGATCATAGGAAGGTAGTGGGGGACAGGGTATTCTGAACCCAGATAGGAGACTTGGGAAAGTGAGGTCTCAGAGGTGAAGCCAGGCCCAGCCCCCACTCCAGACTCTTGGGATAGAGTTAAGAAAAGGGGGACTGAGGAGAGCATGCAAAGGATGGGGAGCAGGAGGACACTGGGTGGCAGGGGTACTGACGGGGCAGCTTGTGATGACTGTCCCCCCAACACACACACACACCACCCCTGGCTGGCACAGAGTCACTTGGGTCCCCCTAGAAACACCAGCTGTTCCATCAGACAGGGACCCTTTTGTGGGCAAGTTGTAGGAAGCCGGTTGGTAGAATGATCTTGACAGAGGTCTGGAATGGCAGACCTTCCAGGTCACAGAGCTGGGGCTGGCTTATGGGTTGGTTGTGGTGGGAGCAAACCCAGCAAACACCTTGATGCTGGTTTCCTTGGCAAGGGAGCAGCTGAGCCTTATTCTAGCCAGGGTTGTACGGACTCGTGCAGCCTTCCTTGCACAGCCGCCCTGGGAAGTTCATGGAGACTCCCGCTAGTTCCCTGCCCTTCCTCCCACTGGCCCTACCACCTGCAGGCCCCAGGGAGGTGATCTGGGAGGTGAGGCTGGACGTGTGACCTGTATATGTCCACTCTGCAGGAGAAGCAGGACAAGGCCGTCCTGCAGGCAGAGGTACAGCACCTGCGCCAAGACAACCTGCGGCTGCAGGAGGAGTCGCAGACAGCAACCGCCCAGCTGCGCAAGTTCACCGAGTGGTTCTTCAGCACCATGGACAAGAAGGCCTGACCTGCCTGCACGCTCCTGCGTCTCACGCGGCTTACGTACGCTTCTGCCATCCGTAGACATGTTGCTGTTCCATTCTTTGTCACCCATTCACCAAGCAGGACGGCTGGGAGCGCAGTGGAGCCGCATGTGGAAGATGAATGTAACTCCAAGTGGAGCCAGTGCCAGCCAAGCTGTGGGGCCGGCGACCCTCCCGGAGAGCGCACGTCCCCACCGTGCAAGGGCCTGTGGGAAGCCAGACAGTGTAGCATAGCTGCTTCGGCATTGTAAAATAAGTGTGGAGACATACTCAGACATGTACTTTAATGTTAAAGGTGCTCTATTTTTTTGGATGTACATACAGTAGTTTATTTCCACATTATCATAGCAATAAGAAGGGAGGCGTTAGGAGCAGTGGAAAGCTGGGCCCGCCGGTGGATTTGATACTAGATTGAATGCTGTTACAGTAGAGATTTATTTATTTGCAGGAACAAATGGTGCCTGAATATTAACAGTGTTCTGACTTTTTTTAAAAGAAAAAGATACGTATGCCTCATAAACAGCTCAACTGTCAGCAGCCTCTCGGCCTGGCTCGCCGTCTGCTTGTCCTGCTTGCTCTCCAGAGCTCCCACTGCCAGGCTGGCGGACCGTACTGGGCAGATTTATCTATCACTGTACAGAAGCTCCAATGAAGTGTCTTGTATTTAACACCCTTATTTAAGCTTATTTAACCTGAAATTGTTAATTTTGTAAGATTTGGCTTTACCTGCGCTAGGATGAGGGTGGCTGACGGCAGCTGACGCTGGCCAGACAGACAGAAGCCGGGGGAGGCTCTGAGGCTCATGCTCTTTGTACTGCTTCGCCGTTTTTAACTGTTAAATTTGAGATGGACGTACATCTTGCTTTTTTAATAAATGTTAAAAAAAAAGTCCACGCAGGCAGCGGTAACTTGAGCAGCCCGCCAGCATCTGTGAATGCACACACTAAGTGCTGTTCAGTGCCTTAGAGTATTTGTAAGCTGCTGCCACCTGTCAACATTCTCTGAGCTTCTCCAAGTCCCCTTTAATCCCAGCAATACCCTTGGTGGGGAGGTATGAGGACCCCATTTTACAACCAGGCAAACCATGCCTCAGGTTAAATGATTTACCCAGTGTTTTTTGACAGAATTGCTATGTAGCCCAGGCTGGCCTGAAACTCAGTCCTCTGTCAACCTCTGGGAAGCTGGGATTACAAGCAGGACCCACACGTTACTCCTTTAGCATCTCACTCAAAGAATTTGGTTTTGCTTACAAGACCATACATACATAAAGCAGGAATGTGAAAAATTAAGAAGTGGTCAGTGGATTGAGTGTAAGCCAAAAGACACAGCACACGGACTCTGTGGGCCGAGGAGCACTCCAGTGCTCCATCTCAGCCACTTGTGAAGCAGAGTGATCCAGACTTGACCCAAAGATGGGATTTCTTCTGGGTTCCTGTGGGCAGCACTGTGTGCAGTGCACTTACGGTTCCTGTGGGAGGTGCAGTGGCTTGTGGCTGCCCATGGCCCCATTCTGAGGGAGACCCGGGCCTCAGTGCTCCCCACAGCCACAGCATTGTGAATCCAGTAGACCTTGTGTCATCCTCCCGCCTGTCCTCTGCTCTGTGCCAGGCACACAGCCAGGCACTGGAGACCTGGATCCGGGGCCCTCTCTAAAGTGCCTGGTCTAACATGGTGAGAAGGAAAAGATGGAAAGTAAGGGAGAGGGTGGTTAGGTGCTGACATGGTTGGACAGGCCACCTGGTACTGTCTGAGCTCTCTCTGCTGCAGAACAGGCTCCATGAGGCAGGGCTGTGGTCAGACCCCCTGCACATGGCTCTGGGGCTGTGTAGAATTTGGGTTCTGAAGAACAGTGGAAGGAAAGAGGCATGTTCAGAGATGGGCAGAGCCATGGCACAGGGCTGCTGGTGGCTGTGGATGCCGAGAGTCCTGGGTTCTGAGAGGAGAGCGGCCTCGTAGAGCTGCAGACTGTTCAGGGCAGATTGCAAACATTTTTGGCTTTGGGAAGTCACACGCTGGCTGTTGTGTTTAAATGTTTCTGTTTACTAGTCCTTAAAGATGGTTTTTTGGCTTGCAAAGCCATCATCGCTTTGTGAACCCTGGGTTCAAGACCAGGGCAAGCCGTGGGGAAGCAGTGTGGGAGCGGACAGTGGAAGCAGGCTAGGGATGCCCAGCCCTTGGCTCTGGGCAGCAGTGACTTTAGAGAACAAGGACATCTTGCCAAGCCCCGGCTGGGGAGTGAGGAAGTGGTCTGTCTGTACAGTGCACCCCAAATCTACGCCGGAACATGTAGCCACATTTCGGTCTGATTTTGGCCCAAGGGTGGTTTCCAACTAACATCCAGGCTGTGGGCCCCACCCCCCACCCCGTCCCTGTGCGTTCCCACGGGGCCACCGCCCCGCCCCTCCGAGTTCCCACGGTCCCTCCCGCTCCGCATGTCCACAAGGCTGCAGACCCCACCCTTCCGCGTTCCCGCGGTGCCACGAGACCCCGCCCCGTCCTCGTTCCCATGGTGCCATGGAACGCCCCCTGCGTGTTCCCATGGTGCCATGGGACCCCTCCCTCTCCTCTGTTCCCATTAGTGCCTGTGTTCTGAGCAACCAGGCCTGCAGTAACCACCATCCTTAAATTACCCTGCAACGCCTAAACCTGTCCTGCTACCAAGGACTTGCTGCTGCAAACCAAATATTGGAATGCACCCACTAAAAGCAATGTCTTTATTGTAGGGTGATTAAGCAGGTGTGTTTTCTCATCCTGTGAAATGAATGATTATGTATCAAGGCCGCTGTAATACACAGCAGCTGGAGTTAATTACCCTATTATTCCTGCCCTTTTCTGTTAAGGGGATGACTTACTAAGAAATAGAAGCTACTGAGCTGGATGTGTCATCCTAGCTACTCAGGAGGCTGAGATCTGAGGCTCAGGATTCAAAGCCAGCCTGGGCAGGAAACTCTATGAGACCCTAAACTCCAATTAACTACTCAAAAAAAAAAAAGCCAGAAGTGGTGCTATGCCTAAAGTGGTAGAGTGCTAACCTTGAGCAAAAGAAGCTCAGGAACAGTGCCCAGGCCCTGAATTCAAGCCCCAGGACCGGTACCAAAAATAAATAAATATAGAAGTGCTACCCTGCTGGGCTGCTCAGAGCTTTCTTGTGCGATGCCAGGACACCATGGTCCCCCAGCCCCTGGAAGACAAAATCAGGCTGCCCACACTCTCGAAGAGTGGTCTTCGGGCATATGGACCTGGAGCCATGGCGCCCTGCTTCACAGGCAGAGGCAACGCTGGCCACACAGTGGGCGAGTGCTGGCCCATCGCCCAGGCCTGGGGAGGAGAGAGGGATTCACTTATCTTGGGTCCCTGCCATGGAGGGCACCTCTTAAAGAGCTAACCATGATGGAGGACTGGCTCCAGGTCTCAGGTCAGAAGCCACCACCTGTCGAAGCCTGCCCCCACCACAAAAGTTACCACTCATCCACCACCAGTCCACCTGCCCTACCACAAGTTACCACCCACCCACCACCAGTCCACCTGCATGGACCTCAAAAGGTACCACCAAGTCACATGTGGTCTCTGAAGACTGTAAAGTGGTCCAGAGTCAAAAAAAAAAAAAAAACAAGCCAGGGGAGGGTACCTCGATGTCCCCAGGGGGAAGGCAGGGAAAGGAGAAGAGAGAGGAGGAGGTAGAGGGGGAAGCTCCCAGGCAGACAGACGCTGCGGGAACCTAGTGATTTTGCTCTTCTTTGTCATCTTATCGGCTCAGGACACACGTGTGCGAGCACAGGCCTTGCACTCAGCTCATAAGACAAGGGTGGGAGGAGGAGAGCAGCAGCCCCTCTGAGCACACCGCACCCAGGGCTCTGCCAGCTCCATGGCTCCCATTCCCTGGGAAGGCCAGAGGAACACTGGTCACTGGTAAGGAACATCCCTTACGCCACCCAAGGAGGATGAAGACAGTGTGCATTTGAACCCCAAATCATCGTACGTGACACCTGTACTCTTGCAAATGAAGGAATCAACGGATTTCTTTGGAGAAACAGAACCTTCCATAATTCTTGACTGTATTTTCTGGTTTCTGTGCAGCCCAGTTTGAGAACTACCATGGTGAAATCAAAGTCCTACTAAAAGGAACAACATGCCAGGTTCCTGTGTCTGCTTCCTCCCCATGAAATGTGGACAGGGACAGCATCCCCCTGGTAGAGCACTGTGCAGAGTGAGTTCCTATATTCAAAATACGTAGAAGGTAAGCTGGGGTTGCCCTAAGTGGAGAAGCAGGCCCAAGGCCCTGGGCTCCAGCCCCACTGCGGCAAAAAAACAAAAATGAGTCAAGTGTGAATAACTGCACCTGGTATAAAGTTAAGGAAATGTGGTTTGGTGTTAGTGTATAAACATTAAGCCAAATGCAGACACAAAAAATCAAGCTGTTGTTATAAGCTAATGGATGGATAGATAGGCAGATTGTTATCGTGCTAGCAAATCACAATATAAAAGTTTTATTATAAAACAATGCATCCTCATGCATCTAGACCCCAGATAACATATACCCACAGGCTAGCAAAAAAAATTCCTGCAAAAAAACAAGTCTTTTTGCAATATCAAGTGAACCTTGCTCTTCACTTGTGCTATTAATTGTGAGGCATGCACAATTTACATCCTCTTGTTTATGACTGTGAAAACCATTCTAAAGGGAACTAGGCCATCTGGGGAACACGACAGACAACTGTGCGCGCCTGTAATTAGTCAATTGATTGGGGATTGCTGACTATTTGCAGACATGAGCTCCAGCTCAGCCCTGACAAGAATCCACAACCCAAGGGAAAGCCTGGCTCCTGGGCCAGCGTTAGATGCTGTGCTCAATCCCGTGCCTCTCACTGCAGTCCTGGATCCCAAATTCTTTCCCAGGCAAATGTTCAAGTTCTTTGCCACCAATGTTATGCACGCTGTGCTACTGAGACCAGAAGCAACCCAACCCCCTAGGATAAATCATGCTTCTAGAACAAAGGAGAAGATGTGAGAGGAAAGAAGCCCTGCCTCTTGCTTCCTCTCAGAAGCAAGCAGCTTCCGTGGCCTCCTCCGTGGCAGTTAGCTCCCTGGCCCAGACTTCTGCTACCAAATGCATACAGAAGTGCTGGAGAGCATGGAGAATGTTCTGAGGCTTGTGGATGAAAGGGGCAAAGCTGGAGCAAATATGAGGCAGACGACAGAGAGCAGAAGTCCATGGTGGCCGTGGAAGAGCCCCTGGTCCCCTCGAGTCTCTCCATCGTGAGCTAGTGGTGGGGACACAGGAGGTCCCGGGAACCCCAGTGGCGTGGTCACCATTCAGTAAGATGTCATTCAGCAAGCCCACGTTTTCCCCCAAGGCTGAGGCCAAATGGTTTGCTTGGAGAAACAGAAAGTGAGGCCCGGCTCGGCCCTGCATCCATACTTTCCCCAGACCTTTGGGAAGGTTCTGCTCTTTCTGCCCTCTAAGGCATCTGTGACACATTCAGAAATGATGCCAGCGACCACAGTGGGCCAATCAGAGCATATGACAAACAAGGACACCCGGCACCGTCATCCTGGCCGCCTCTGTCCTCCCAGTCCTGAACGTGCCGCCTCCTCCACCCTCATCCCAACCTCATGTAAGCTTGAGGCTCACGACCCCTCCCCAACACCCGCCAGCTCTCCCCACCATCCCCAAGATTTCAAAGCCATCCCGTACCACATCCAGCATCCTGTCCTCACTGGGGACCCTGTCTTCCCGCACCTCCACTGCCCATGCCACGCCATGGCACCAACCACAGCACCTACAGAGCACACTTGCCACCATCCCAACCTCCAAACACACTTCCCACCTCTGCTATTCA